TCTCGCTGAGGTGAGTCAATCTCGCTGAGGTGAGTCAATCTCGCTGAGGTGAGTCAATCTCGCTGAGGTGAGTCAATCTCGCTGAGGTGAGTCAATCTCGCTGAGGTGAGTCAATCTCGCTGAGGTGAGTCAATCTCGCTGAGGTGAGTCAATCTCGCTGAGGTGAGTCAATCTCGCTGAGGGTGAGTCAATCTCGCTGAGGTGAGTCAATCTCGCTGAGGTGAGTCAATCTCGCTGGGTGAGTCAATCTCGCTGGGGTGAGTCAATCTCGCTGAGGTGAGTCAATCTCGCTGAGGTGAGTCAATCTCGCTGAGGTGAGTCAATCTCGCTGAGGTGAGTCAATCTCGCTGAGGTGAGTCAATCTCGCTGAGGTGAGTCAATCTCGCTGAGGTGAGTCAATCTCGCTGAGGTGAGTCAATCTCGCTGAGGTGAGTCAATCTCGCTGAGGTGAGTCAATCTCGCTGAGGTGAGTCAATCTCGCTGAGGTGAGTCAATCTCGCTGAGGTGAGTCAATCTCGCTGAGGTGAGTCAATCTCGCTGAGGTGAGTCAATCTCGCTGAGGTGAGTCAATCTCGCTGAGGTGAGTCAATCTCGCTGAGGTGAGTCAATCTCGCTGAGGTGAGTCAATCTCGCTGAGGTGAGTCAATCTCGCTGAGGTGAGTCAATCTCGCTGAGGTGAGTCAATCTCGCTGAGGTGAGTCAATCTCGCTGAGGTGAGTCAATCTCGCTGAGGTGAGTCAATCTCGCGGAGGTGAGTCAATCTCGCGGAGGTGAGTCAATCTCGCTGAGGTGAGTCAATCTCGCTGAGGTGAGTCAATCTCGCTGAGGTGAGTCAATCTCGCTGAGGTGAGTCAATCTCGCTGAGGTGAGTCAATCTCGCTGAGGTGAGTCAATCTCGCTGAGGTGAGTCAATCTCGCTGAGGTGAGTCAATCTCGCTGAGGTGAGTCAATCTCGCTGAGGTGAGTCAATCTCGCTGAGGTGAGTCAATCTCGCTGAGGTGAGTCAATCTCGCTGAGGTGAGTCAATCTCGCTGAGGTGAGTCAATCTCGCTGAGGTGAGTCAATCTCGCTGAGGTGGGTCAATCTCGCTGAGGTGAGTCAATCTCGCTGAGGTGAGTCAATCTCGCTGAGGTGAGTCAATCTCGCTGAGGTGAGTCAATCTCGCTGAGGTGAGTCAATCTCGCTGAGGTGAGTCAATCTCGCTGAGGTGAGTCAATCTCGCTGAGGTGAGTCAATCTCGCTGAGGTGAGTCAATCTCGCTGAGGTGAGTCAATCTCGCTGGGGTGAGTCAATCTCGCTGGGGTGAGTCAATCTCGCTGGGGTGAGTCAATCTCGCTGAGGTGAGTCAATCTCGCTGAGGTGAGTCAATCTCGCTGAGGTGAGTCAATCTCGCTGAGGTGAGTCAATCTCGCTGAGGTGAGTCAATCTCGCTGAGGTGAGTCAATCTCGCTGAGGTGAGTCAATCTCGCTGAGGTGAGTCAATCTCGCTGAGGTGAGTCATCTTCGCTGAGGTGAGTCAATCTCGCTGAGGTGAGTCAATCTCGCTGAGGTGAGTCAATCTCGCTGAGGTGAGTCAATCTCGCTGAGGTGAGTCAATCTCGCTGAGGTGAGTCAATCTCGCTGAGGGTGAGTCAATCTCGCTGAGGTGAGTCAATCTCGCTGAGGTGAGTCAATCTCGCTGGGGTGAGTCAATCTCGCTGGGGTGAGTCAATCTCGCTGGGTGAGTCAATCTCGCTGAGGTGAGTCAATCTCGCTGAGGTGAGTCAATCTCGCTGAGGTGAGTCAATCTCGCTGAGGTGAGTCAATCTCGCTGAGGTGAGTCAATCTCGCTGAGGTGAGTCAATCTCGCTGAGGTGAGTCAATCTCGCTGAGGTGAGTCAATCTCGCTGAGGTGAGTCAATCCTCGCTGAGGTGGGTCAATCTCGCTGAGGTGGGTCAATCTCGCTGAGGTGAGGTCAATCTCGCTGAGGTGAGTCAATCTCGCTGAGGTGAGTCAATCTCGCTGAGGTGAGTCAATCTCGCTGAGGTGAGTCAATCTCGCTGAGGTGAGTCAATCTCGCTGAGGTGAGTCAATCTCGCTGAGGTGAGTCAATCTCGCTGAGGTGAGTCAATCTCGCTGAGGTGAGTCAATCTCGCTGAGGTGAGTCAATCTCGCTGAGGTGAGTCAATCTCGCTGAGGTGAGTCAATCTCGCTGAGGTGAGTCAATCTCGCTGAGGTGAGTCAATCTCGCTGAGGTGAGTCAATCTCGCTGAGGTGAGTCAATCTCGCTGAGGTGAGTCAATCTCGCTGAGGTGAGTCAATCTCGCTGAGGTGAGTCAATCTCGCTGAGGTGAGTCAATCTCGCTGGGGTGAGTCAATCTCGCTGGGGTGAGTCAATCTCGCTGGGGTGAGTCAATCTCGCTGAGGTGAGTCAATCTCGCTGAGGTGAGTCAATCTCGCTGAGGTGAGTCAATCTCGCTGAGGTGAGTCAATCTCGCTGAGGTGAGTCAATCTCGCTGAGGTGAGTCAATCTCGCTGAGGTGAGTCAATCTCGCTGAGGTGAGTCAATCTCGCTGAGGGGAGTCAATCTCGCTGAGGTGAGTCAATCTCGCTGAGGTGAGTCAATCTCGCTGAGGTGAGTCAATCTCGCTGAGGTGAGTCAATCTCGCTGAGGTGAGTCAATCTCGCTGAGGTGAGTCAATCTCGCTGAGGTGAGTCAATCTCGCTGAGGTGAGTCAATCTCGCTGAGGTGAGTCAATCTCGCTGAGGTGAGTCAATCTCGCTGAGGTGAGTCAATCTCGCTGAGGTGAGTCAATCTCGCTGAGGTGAGTCAATCTCGCTGAGGTGAGTCAATCTCGCTGAGGTGAGTCAATCTCGCCTGAGGTGAGTCAATCTCGCTGAGGTGAGTCAATCTCGCTGAGGTGAGTCAATCTCGCTGAGGTGAGTCAATCTCGCTGAGGCGAGTCAATCTCGCTGAGGCGAGTCAATCTCGCTGAGGCGAGTCAATCTCGCTGAGGTGAGTCAATCTCGCTGAGGTGAGTCAATCTCGCTGAGGTGAGTCAATCTCGCTGGGGTGAGTCAATCTCGCTGGGGTGAGTCAATCTCGCTGAGGTGAGTCAATCTCGCTGAGGTGAGTCAATCTCGCTGAGGTGAGTCAATCTCGCTGAGGTGAGTCAATCTCGCTGAGGTGAGTCAATCTCGCTGAGGTGAGTCAATCTCGCTGAGGTGAGTCAATCTCGCTGAGGTGAGTCAATCTCGCTGAGGTGAGTCAATCTCGCTGAGGTGAGTCAATCTCGCTGAGGTGAGTCAATCTCGCTGAGGTGAGTCAATCTCGCTGAGGTGAGTCAATCTCGCTGAGGTGAGTCAATCTCGCTGAGGTGAGTCAATCTCGCTGAGGTGAGTCAATCTCGCTGAGGTGAGTCAATCTCGCTGAGGTGAGTCAATCTCGCTGAGGTGAGTCAATCTCGCTGAGGTGAGTCAATCTCGCTGAGGCGAGTCAATCTCGCTGAGGCGAGTCAATCTCGCTGAGGTGAGTCAATCTCGCTGAGGTGAGTCAATCTCGCTGAGGTGAGTCAATCTCGCTGGGGTGAGTCAATCTCGCTGGGGTGAGTCAATCTCGCTGAGGTGAGTCAATCTCGCTGAGGTGAGTCAATCTCGCTGAGGTGAGTCAATCTCGCTGAGGTGAGTCAATCTCGCTGAGGTGAGTCAATCTCGCTGAGGTGAGTCAATCTCGCTGAGGTGAGTCAATCTCGCTGAGGTGAGTCAATCTCGCTGAGGTGAGTCAATCTCGCTGAGGTGAGTCAATCTCGCTGAGGTGAGTCAATCTCGCTGAGGTGAGTCAATCTCGCTGAGGTGAGTCAATCTCGCTGAGGTGAGTCAATCTCGCTGAGGTGAGTCAATCTCGCTGAGGTGAGTCAATCTCGCTGAGGTGAGTCAATCTCGCTGAGGTGAGTCAATCTCGCTGAGGTGAGTCAATCTCGCTGAGGTGAGTCAATCTCGCTGAGGTGAGTCAATCTCGCTGAGGTGAGTCAATCTCGCTGAGGTGAGTCAATCTCGCTGAGGTGAGTCAATCTCGCTGAGGTGAGTCAATCTCGCTGAGGTGAGTCAATCTCGCTGAGGTGAGTCAATCTCGCTGAGGTGAGTCAATCTCGCTGAGGTGAGTCAATCTCGCTGAGGTGAGTCAATCTCGCTGAGGTGAGTCAATCTCGCTGAGGTGAGTCAATCTCGCTGAGGTGAGTCAATCTCGCTGAGGTGAGTCAATCTCGCTGAGGTGAGTCAATCTCGCTGAGGTGAGTCAATCTCGCTGAGGTGAGTCAATCTCGCTGAGGTGAGTCAATCTCGCTGAGGTGAGTCAATCTCGCTGAGGTGAGTCAATCTCGCTGAGGTGAGTCAATCTCGCTGAGGTGAGTCAATCTCGCTGAGGTGAGTCAATCTCGCTGAGGTGAGTCAATCTCGCTGAGGTGAGTCAATCTCGCTGAGGTGAGTCAATCTCGCTGAGGTGAGTCAATCTCGCTGAGGTGAGTCAATCTCGCTTAGGTGAGTCAATCTCGCTGAGGTGAGTCAATCTCGCTGAGGTGAGTCAATCTCGCTGAGGTGAGTCAATCTCGCTGAGGTGAGTCAATCTCGCTGAGGTGAGTCAATCTCGCTGAGGTGAGTCAATCTCGCTGAGGTGAGTCAATCTCGCTGAGGTGAGTCAATCTCGCTTAGGTGAGTCAATCTCGCTTAGGTGAGTTGCCGCAAGGCTTCAGCTGGCTGAGGTGAACTCGTCTTCGCATTACCCCATTCCTCCTCTTCTTCCCCTGTCGCAATCATCTCCCTCCCTATTCCCCCTTCCCCTCCCCTGTTCTATCCACCCTTTGTGCCATTTTCCGGTATCTCCTCTCCTCTATGAGCGCATATCTGAGAGCCCTTGAAAGCACGACATATCAGGGATGCCCGACCTGCTTGATTTTCTTACCTCATCCATACCAACCCCATCTGGTTGGCATACCAACTCACACCGGGTTGGCTGTGCATGCAGGGCTTTAACGGGGCTGATCTGCGCAACGTGTGCACGGAGGCGGGCATGTTTGCCATCAGAGACGATCGCGACTATGTTGTGCATGAGGACTTCATGAAGGTGAGTGCTGTCAGGCGCACATTGTCTGATATTTGGTGGTTTTGCTAGTGCATGGAAAAGAAGCTGATGTATTTCAACTTGCGTTCACTTTTTTATCAAAATATATAATTTCACCCTTTTTTTTTTCTTTTTTTTCTTTTTTTCCTACAGGCAGTGCGCAAGATCACGGATGCCAAGAAATTGGAGTCAAGTGCTTCTTACTCAGCGGACTTTGGAAAGGACTGATTTGTACCTAGGTTGTAAAAAGCAAGCATCCTCATATTGTTTACGACGCTTGTTACTGTAGCGAAGATGGAAATCTCCAGACTCTTCAGGGTTTCATGTGTCAGTCTGCTGTTTCCTGCGTGTCAACCTTGGCCAGGCCTACCAGTACTCTTTCTATGGCGGCTCAGGTTGCTCCAGGCTCCAGCCCTCAGACCAGATACTAGCATGGCATTCTCGAAGCAGCAGATCTCCATGGCACCTCAAGATTTGTGCAGGCAAGCCGCCATGGTAATTGCAGTTACCGTGTCATCCCGGATATAGGTGCAGATCTACGATAAGCTCATACGCCTCTATCCAAGCCCAGTGCTGATTTCCGGTCCTCGTTTTTTCAGTGCAGCGCAGGTAATACTGGATGAAGAAACAGTTTGTACGAATGTCGACAATTGGGTTGACGGGTACGTGATGAGGACTCTGCTGTTCTACTATCCTTTGCTCTTGGCGGGCTATAGTCTGAATGCCTCCCATACTTGTGATGGAGATTCATTCCACGCTGATTCATGTGTGATGATCTTGCCAGTGCTGTTGACGCGAAAGACGTCGTCTGCATGGCAGCAGCAAGCAAGGCAGGAGGATGATGGGAAAGGGACCAGCAAAGGGAATGGTACACATTGATGGAAACACGGTGTGCAGGGAATACAACGCTTCCCCACTCACCACTCCCTCCCTTCCCAACACTTACTCCCCCCCTTCCCAACACTCACTTCCTCCCTTCCCAACACTCACTCCCTCCCGCATCTGCTGCCTCTCCCTCACTCACATCTACACATTACGCTCGCATCCCCCCCTTCCACACACACTCATTGCCTCCCCCACACCCGCACTGTCGCACCTCCCGCACTCGCCCCTCCAGTGATACTCAACGCACCTCCGGTGATGCCCAACGCACCTCCACTGATGCTCAACGCCTTCCCCCATTGACTGCCCCCCTTCGTCTCGTGCTCCACACTCTCCCCACTGCACCCACCACCTCCCCTGCAGTGATGCTCAACGCACCTCCAGTGATGCTAAGTGTCTTCCCCCACCGAGTCTGCCCCCTTGTGCTCCACACACTCCGCACTGCACACACCGCCTCCCCCACGCGCCCCTCCAGCCCCGCGCGCGGGGAGAAGGGCGAGCAGGTGAGCGCGTCGGGAGGGATCTGGAGAGGGGAACAGGAAAGTGGGGGTGGAGGAGAGGGGGAGGAGAGGGGGAGGAGGGGGGGAGGAGGGGTGAAGAGAGTGAGAGGAGAAGGGAAGCTACGTCGCGATGTCTGGAAGTTGTGTGCACGAGAGCGGGGGCCATGTTGCAACCGTTCCTTGGGCGCTGCAAACATGCTGCTAACCTGTTGCTAACATGGTGCCGGGGAGGAGAGAGGGGGGCAGGGATGAGGAGATTGAGTGAGGGGTTGGAGGGGGGTCGGCGGGTGACGATGGGGGCGGGGGGGGAAGTGGGGGGGGAGAAGAAGGGAGGGGCGAGAGGATGATGGAGAGTGATGGTAAGAAAGGGGCATTGCAAGCACTGCTCACCTCTTCCAGTGAGTGCACTTCGAAAACGAGAGACCTGGGTTCGAATCCCACTGCCGTGATTAACCTCAGGCTGGTGATCATCCCTCTGTACAGAAATAGGCCGTCCAATCGCGTCACAGGATCCACGAATGCCACGCTGGCATCGTAGATGGACCAATCCAGGTCTCGCTCGTACTGCACCGGCAGGTCCTCCCGTAAAACGCGCATCACTCGCGCCACGCGCGCATCGGACGCCTCCGCAGCTCCGCCCGCGCCTTCTACTTGCGCCCTCGCTGCTCCGCCTTCATCTCCCGCTGCTCCGCGCGCAAGGGGGATGCGCCGACCCTCCGGTCTCACGCCGAGTGTTCCCTGCCTCACTCCGCCGTTATGCGCGCTTCTTCGAGGGCGCGGCTCTTTGGCGCGCCTCGGATTCCCCCCGCCAAAGCACAACGCGCAGGCAGAATGAGGCGCGGGATGGTAAGTGGGCTTCCGAGTGACGTCGAAATGGGAAACGTAGAGCGAGCGATCAGATTTCGAGTCTGTTGTGGGGAGAAGTGCGCGGGGAAAGGCTGCGCCGGGCGTGCGCGGGAGCGGAAGGGGGAAGCAGATTGCGGCGGTGGGCGGCATGGGGAAATATTATTAAAACAGAACTGGACGTCGCGTGTTGGAGGCTTGGCAAAATGGAGGGTGAAAGGGTCACCCTTCAGAGTGAAAGGTGGAGCGACAAGAATGTGGTGCTTCGCAGATTGGACCGGACTGGAAATGTGAGGGGAAAGTGGAGGTGGGGTGAAGAGGGTAAGGATGACATCTACGCGATAGAAGCGCGTCATTTTATAGGAATGGAGCGTCAAACATCTGGATAACGATATACTGTTTTCGCGCTTCCAAATTTATGTTTCAGTCGAAGTGAAAGACCTTGATGTCAACATCCGCACCAAACCGAAACTAACCAAAGCCAACCGCATTGCATCACATGATTTATCCAACCGAGTCTCCCCTTCGTGAACATCCTCATTTGCTGTCTATTCTAGCCCACACGTCAGCCATCACGATCAATGCCGCTAGCCTTCTAGCTTCACCATCCTCTTTACTTCAACTTCCCTCCCTCAAGCTTCGCAATCGTCCCCTCCTGCGTTCCCGAATCCCCACCCTCGGACTGCACGTTTTCCAAAAATCATGCCCCCAGATCATCTCACGCGGCTACTCGCTCAGCCGCATTGCCGTCACGATGCTTCAACTTGTCGACACGACCCGCGGCGGCATTGCCAGCGGCGGCTTCAACGGATCTTTGTCATCGCGGCGCTCGTCGCGCTCCTTGCGTCGTCACCGCTGCCAGCCACGGTGCGCGCCGGCGTCATCCAGCCGCTGCCGGGGCTCGCCACGGCCGATGACGTGGCGCTTGCTGAGAGTACGTCGCGTGTGATTGTAGCGCGGCGGCGGCGATTTGAGGATGGGTGCTCATTGTAACGGCCCGGGGCGACGTAAAACGGCGCGTGCTGGCGAGGCGACGAATGGCGGGACTCTCGGGTGGATGGAAGACGGCGGCGAGGAATGGAAGCATGAGTTCTGAGGTGTCGCCTCGCCGCGACCCCAACCCGTCTACCCGCACAGCATGCTCATTCCGCCCATTCGCCTCCGTTCTTTCCCTCCTCCTCCCCGCCTCCGCGCGTCCAGCATCTCTCTCCCCCATCTCCACCCTCCCCTCTTTCCCCCTCTCCAACTCCTCCCCCCGCAGAGGCGGCGCTGCTGTCGCTGGCGGCAGCGCTGGGCGGGCACGCGGCGTTCCGGTGGGCGGGGTGGGTGAACGCGTCGCAGGGGCTGTCGGTGCAGCAGAGCAAGCCGTGCGTGCAGTTCTGGGAGTTCCTCTCCTGCGACTCGCACGGCCGCGTCTCCAGCATGTGAGCAACTGAGGGCGGGTCCCAGCATGTGAGCGCTGTGAGGAGGCTGTGAGGGGGATGTGGGGATAAGAAGGTGCGTATCCAGCATGCGAGGCCGTGAGGGGGCGGTGGGGATGAGCAAGCCATGCGTGCAGTTCTGAAGGGAAGAAGGAAGAAGATGGAAGGGAGTTCCCCTCCTGTGACTCCCACGGCCGTCTCGCCAGCATGTGAGCGCCGTGAGGGGGCAGTGGGAACGTTCATGTGAGGGTGGCAAGGGAAGAGACGGCGGATTGAGCGTGGTGTTGGCAACACGCGCATCAACCCCTCCGTTTGCACCCTTTCACTCCCCCTCTGCCTTGCGCCCCCCTCCTCCTCTCGCCTCTTTCCTTTCCTTTACTATGGTCCTCCCACCGGTACCCCCATCTTCCCCTTCCTCACCTGCTACCACCTCGTCCCGTTCCCCCTCCTCCCTGTCCCCCCTCTCCCCCCTCCCCGGACTGCCCCCTTCTTCTTCCTTCTTTCCACCCTCCCCCGTCTTCTCCCTTCCATCTTTTTCCTTCTTCCCTTCATCCTTTCCTTTCCCTCCGTTCCCCCCCCCCCCCTTCGTCCCTTTCTCCCGGTCTTCAACTTCCTCCCTTCCTCCCTTCCGCCACCCACCACAGCAACATTGCCAACCCCACTTTAGCCGTCATCAATGCGTCGTGGGCCAATCAGAAGACGCCAGGTGGCTTAAAGGGGTCGATCCCCTGGGATTCCCTCACGGCGCTGGAGCACCTGCAGGCCGTTGATCTGTCGGGCAACTCCATCTCTGGCCCTCCGTTCACTGCTGCCATCTCCAAGTTCACTGCGTTGAGAGACATGTGAGTGGGGAGGGAGGAGAGTGAGGGGGATGAGAGAGTGAGGGATGAGAGAGTGAGGGGGATTTGAGTGACCAGGGGTGTGAGCAGGCAACTCCATCTCTGGCCCTCCATTCACTGCTGCCATCTCCAAGTTCACTGCGCTGAGAGACATGTGAGGAGGATTAGGGTGAGTGGGATGAGGGTGAGGGGGGTGAGAGTGAGGAGGATGAGAGTGAGGAGGATGAGAGTGAGGAGGATGAGAGTGAGGAGGATGAGAGTGAGGAGGATGAGAGTGAGGGGGATGAGAGTGAGGGGGATGAGAGTGAGGGGGATGAGAGTGAGGAGGATGAGAGTGAGGAGGATGAGAGTGAGGAGGATGAGAGTGAGGAGGATGAGAGTGAGGAGGATGAGAGTGAGGAGGATGAGAGTGAGGGGGATGAGAGTGAGGGGGATGAGAGTGAGGGGGATGAGAGTGAGGGGGATGAGAGTGAGGGGGATGAGAGTGAGGGGGATGAGAGTGAGGGGGATGAGAGTGAGGGGGATGAGAGGGAGGGGGGATGATTGAAAGGGAGATGTGAATAAGGAGGTTTAGAATGACGGGTTGTGAGGGGGGTTGTGCGAAGGTGGTCGACGGTCAACGACGAGAGTGAGAGATTCGAATGACCTGTTAGCGATTGCGTTTCAACCCCTCTTCCTAACCCCCGCCCCCTCCCTCTCCCCCTCATCCCTCGACCCCCCGTTGTTTGCCCATCGTCCCTCAGAACCTTGCTCTACCCTCACCCCATACCCCCCGTTGTTTGCCCATCGTCCCTCAGAACCTTGCTCTACCCTCACCCCATACCCCCCGTTGTTTGCCCATCGTCCCTCAGAACCTTGCTCTACCCTCACCCCATACCCCCCGTTGTTTGCCCATCGTCCCTCAGAACCTTGCTCTACTCTCACCCCATACCCCCCGTTGTTTGCCCATCGTCCCTCAGAACCTTGCTCTACCCTCACCCCATACCCCCCGTTGTTTGCCCATCGTCCCTCAGAACCTTGCTCTACCCTCACCCCATACCCCCCGTTGTTTGCCCATCGTCCCTCAGAACCTTGCTCTACTCTCACCCCATACCCCCCGTTGTTTGCCCATCGTCCCTCAGAACCTTGCTCTACCCTCACCCCATACCCCCCGTTGTTTGCCCATCGTCCCTCAGAACCTTGCTCTACCCTCACCCCATACCCCCCGTTGTTTGCCCATCGTCCCTCAGAACCTTGCTCTACCCTCACCCCATACCCCCCGTTGTTTGCCCATCGTCCCTCAGAACCTTGCTCTACCCTCACCCCATACCCCCCGTTGTTTGCCCATCGTCCCTCAGAACCTTGCTCTACCCTCACCCCATACCCCCCGTTGTTTGCCCATCGTCCCTCAGAACCTTGCTCTACCCTCACCCCATACCCCCCGTTGTTTGCCCATCGTCCCTCAGAACCTTGCTCTACCCTCACCCCATACCCCCCGTTGTTTGCCCATCGTCCCTCAGAACCTTGCTCTACCCTCACCCCATACCCCCCGTTGTTTGCCCATCGTCCCTCAGAACCTTGCTCTACCCTCACCCCATACCCCCCGTTGTTTGCCCATCGTCCCTCAGAACCTTGCTCTACCCTCACCCCATACCCCCCGTTGTTTGCCCATCGTCCCTCAGAACCTTGCTCTACCCTCACCCCATACCCCCCGTTGTTTGCCCATCGTCCCTCAGAACCTTGCTCTACCCTCACCCCATACCCCCCGTTGTTTGCCCATCGTCCCTCAGAACCTTGCTCTACCCTCACCCCATACCCCCCGTTGTTTGCCCATCGTCCCTCAGAACCTTGCTCTACCCTCACCCCATACCCCCCGTTGTTTGCCCATCGTCCCTCAGAACCTTGCTCTACCCTCACCCCATACCCCCCGTTGTTTGCCCATCGTCCCTCAGAACCTTGCTCTACCCTCACCCCATACCCCCCGTTGTTTGCCCATCGTCCCTCAGAACCTTGCTCTACCCTCACCCCATACCCCCCGTTGTTTGCCCATCGTCCCTCAGAACCTTGCTCTACCCTCACCCCATACCCCCCGTTGTTTGCCCATCGTCCCTCAGAACCTTGCTCTACCCTCACCCCATACCCCCCGTTGTTTGCCCATCGTCCCTCAGAACCTTGCTCTACCCTCACCCCATACCCCCCGTTGTTTGCCCATCGTCCCTCAGAACCTTGCTCTACCCTCACCCCATACCCCCCGTTGTTTGCCCATCGTCCCTCAGAACCTTGCTCTACCCTCACCCCATACCCCCCGTTGTTTGCCCATCGTCCCTCAGAACCTTGCTCTACCCTCACCCCATACCCCCCGTTGTTTGCCCATCGTCCCTCAGAACCTTGCTCTACCCTCACCCCATACCCCCCGTTGTTTGCCCATCGTCCCTCAGAACCTTGCTCTACCCTCACCCCATACCCCCCGTTGTTTGCCCATCGTCCCTCAGAACCTTGCTCTACCCTCACCCCATACCCCCCGTTGTTTGCCCATCGTCCCTCAGAACCTTGCTCTACCCTCACCCCATACCCCCCGTTGTTTGCCCATCGTCCCTCAGAACCTTGCTCTACCCTCACCCCATACCCCCCGTTGTTTGCCCATCGTCCCTCAGAACCTTGCTCTACCCTCACCCCATACCCCCCGTTGTTTGCCCATCGTCCCTCAGAACCTTGCTCTACCCTCACCCCATACCCCCCGTTGTTTGCCCATCGTCCCTCAGAACCTTGCTCTACCCTCACCCCATACCCCCCGTTGTTTGCCCATCGTCCCTCAGAACCTTGCTCTACCCTCACCCCATACCCCCCGTTGTTTGCCCATCGTCCCTCAGAACCTTGCTCTACCCTCACCCCATACCCCCCGTTGTTTGCCCATCGTCCCTCAGAACCTTGCTCTACCCTCACCCCATACCCCCCGTTGTTTGCCCATCGTCCCTCAGAACCTTGCTCTACCCTCACCCCATACCCCCCGTTGTTTGCCCATCGTCCCTCAGAACCTTGCTCTACCCTCACCCCATACCCCCCGTTGTTTGCCCATCGTCCCTCAGAACCTTGCTCTACCCTCACCCCATACCCCCCGTTGTTTGCCCATCGTCCCTCAGAACCTTGCTCTACCCTCACCCCATACCCCCCGTTGTTTGCCCATCGTCCCTCAGAACCTTGCTCTACCCTCACCCCATACCCCCCGTTGTTTGCCCATCGTCCCTCAGAACCTTGCTCTACCCTCACCCCATACCCCCCGTTGTTTGCCCATCGTCCCTCAGAACCTTGCTCTACCCTCACCCCATACCCCCCGTTGTTTGCCCATCGTCCCTCAGAACCTTGCTCTACCCTCACCCCATACCCCCCGTTGTTTGCCCATCGTCCCTCAGAACCTTGCTCTACCCTCACCCCATACCCCCCGTTGTTTGCCCATCGTCCCTCAGAACCTTGCTCTACCCTCACCCCATACCCCCCGTTGTTTGCCCATCGTCCCTCAGAACCTTGCTCTACCCTCACCCCATACCCCCCGTTGTTTGCCCATCGTCCCTCAGAACCTTGCTCTACCCTCACCCCATACCCCCCGTTGTTTGCCCATCGTCCCTCAGAACCTTGCTCTACCCTCACCCCATACCCCCCGTTGTTTGCCCATCGTCCCTCAGAACCTTGCTCTACCCTCACCCCATACCCCCCGTTGTTTGCCCATCGTCCCTCAGAACCTTGCTCTACTCTCACCCCATACCCCCCGTTGTTTGCCCATCGTCCCTCAGAACCTTGCTCTACCCTCACCCCATACCCCCCGTTGTTTGCCCATCGTCCCTCAGAACCTTGCTCTACCCTCACCCCATACCCCCCGTTGTTTGCCCATCGTCCCTCAGAACCTTGCTCTACCCTCACCCCATACCCCCCGTTGTTTGCCCATCGTCCCTCAGAACCTTGCTCTACCCTCACCCCATACCCCCCGTTGTTTGCCCATCGTCCCTCAGAACCTTGCTCTACCCTCACCCCATACCCCCCGTTGTTTGCCCATCGTCCCTCAGAACCTTGCTCTACCCTCACCCCATACCCCCCGTTGTTTGCCCATCGTCCCTCAGAACCTTGCTCTACCCTCACCCCATACCCCCCGTTGTTTGCCCATCGTCCCTCAGAACCTTGCTCTACCCTCACCCCATACCCCCCGTTGTTTGCCCATCGTCCCTCAGAACCTTGCTCTACCCTCACCCCATACCCCCCGTTGTTTGCCCATCGTCCCTCAGAACCTTGCTCTACCCTCACCCCATACCCCCCGTTGTTTGCCCATCGTCCCTCAGAACCTTGCTCTACCCTCACCCCATACCCCCCGTTGTTTGCCCATCGTCCCTCAGAACCTTGCTCTACCCTCACCCCATACCCCCCGTTGTTTGCCCATCGTCCCTCAGAACCTTGCTCTACCCTCACCCCATACCCCCCGTTGTTTGCCCATCGTCCCTCAGAACCTTGCTCTACCCTCACCCCATACCCCCGTTGTTTGCCCATCGTCCCTCAGAACCTTGCTCTACCCTCACCCCATACCCCCCGTTGTTTGCCCATCGTCCCTCAGAACCTTGCTCTACCCTCACCCCATACCCCCCGTTGTTTGCCCATCGTCCCTCAGAACCTTGCTCTACCCTCACCCCATACCCCCCGTTGTTTGCCCATCGTCCCTCAGAACCTTGCTCTACCCTCACCCCATACCCCCCGTTGTTTGCCCATCGTCCCTCAGAACCTTGCTCTACCCTCACCCCATACCCCCCGTTGTTTGCCCATCGTCCCTCAGAACCTTGCTCTACCCTCACCCCATACCCCCCGTTGTTTGCCCATCGTCCCTCAGAACCTTGCTCTACCCTCACCCCATACCCCCCGTTGTTTGCCCATCGTCCCTCAGAACCTTGCTCTACCCTCACCCCATACCCCCCGTTGTTTGCCCATCGTCCCTCAGAACCTTGCTCTACCCTCACCCCATACCCCCCGTTGTTTGCCCATCGTCCCTCAGAACCTTGCTCTACCCTCACCCCATACCCCCCGTTGTTTGCCCATCGTCCCTCAGAACCTTGCTCTACCCTCACCCCATACCCCCCGTTGTTTGCCCATCGTCCCTCAGAACCTTGCTCTACCCTCACCCCATACCCCCCGTTGTTTGCCCATCGTCCCTCAGAACCTTGCTCTACCCTCACCCCATACCCCCCGTTGTTTGCCCATCGTCCCTCAGAACCTTGCTCTACCCTCACCCCATACCCCCCGTTGTTTGCCCATCGTCCCTCAGAACCTTGCTCTACCCTCACCCCATACCCCCCGTTGTTTGCCCATCGTCCCTCAGAACCTTGCTCTACCCTCACCCCATACCCCCCGTTGTTTGCCCATCGTCCCTCAGAACCTTGCTCTACCCTCACCCCATACCCCCCGTTGTTTGCCCATCGTCCCTCAGAACCTTGCTCTACCCTCACCCCATACCCCCCGTTGTTTGCCCATCGTCCCTCAGAACCTTGCTCTACCCTCACCCCATACCCCCCGTTGTTTGCCCATCGTCCCTCAGAACCTTGCTCTACCCTCACCCCATACCCCCCGTTGTTTGCCCATCGTCCCTCAGAACCTTGCTCTACCCTCACCCCATACCCCCCGTTGTTTGCCCATCGTCCCTCAGAACCTTGCTCTACCCTCACCCCATACCCCCCGTTGTTTGCCCATCGTCCCTCAGAACCTTGCTCTACCCTCACCCCATACCCCCCGTTGTTTGCCCATCGTCCCTCAGAACCTTGCTCTACCCTCACCCCATACCCCCCGTTGTTTGCCCATCGTCCCTCAGAACCTTGCTCTACCCTCACCCCATACCCCCCGTTGTTTGCCCATCGTCCCTCAGAACCTTGCTCTACCCTCACCCCATACCCCCCGTTGTTTGCCCATCGTCCCTCAGAACCTTGCTCTACCCTCACCCCATACCCCCCGTTGTTTGCCCATCGTCCCTCAGAACCTTGCTCTACCCTCACCCCATACCCCCCGTTGTTTGCCCATCGTCCCTCAGAACCTTGCTCTACCCTCACCCCATACCCCCCGTTGTTTGCCCATCGTCCCTCAGAACCTTGCTCTACCCTCACCCCATACCCCCCGTTGTTTGCCCATCGTCCCTCAGAACCTTGCTCTACCCTCACCCCATACCCCCCGTTGTTTGCCCATCGTCCCTCAGAACCTTGCTCTACCCTCACCCCATACCCCCCGTTGTTTGCCCATCGTCCCTCAGAACCTTGCTCTACCCTCACCCCATACCCCCCGTTGTTTGCCCATCGTCCCTCAGAACCTTGCTCTACCCTCACCCCATACCCCCCGTTGTTTGCCCATCGTCCCTCAGAACCTTGCTCTACCCTCACCCCATACCCCCCGTTGTTTGCCCATCGTCCCTCAGAACCTTGCTCTACCCTCACCCCATACCCCCCCGTTGTTTGCCCATCGTCCCTCAGAACCTTGCTCTACCCTCACCCCATACCCCCCGTTGTTTGCCCATCGTCCCTCAGAACCTTGCTCTACCCTCACCCCATACCCCCCGTTTTTTGCCCATCGTCCCTCAGAACCTTGCTCTACCCTCACCCCATACCCCCCGTTGTTTGCCCATCGTCCCTCAGAACCTTGCTCTACCCTCACCCCATACCCCCCGTTGTTTGCCCATCGTCCCTCAGAACCTTGCTCTACCCTCACCCCATACCCCCCGTTGTTTGCCCATCGTCCCTCAGAACCTTGCTCTGCTCTACCCTTACCCCATACCCCCCTCAACCTCTCACACCTTTGTCCCAAGCCCCTCGCACCGCAGAGCGTCTGTGGTGGAGGCGCGGGAGCTGCCTCAAGAACTCCCCGCGCACCTCCTGAACCCCACGGTGCACCACCTGCCTGCCCATACTCTCCTCACCTTCTCTCCCCTCCTTCCCCCCATCCCTCCGCATCTTCCCCCACCCCCCCATCCCCATCCGTCTGCCCTTTTCCCCCGCCACCCTCGCCTCCCTACCCCCGTTCCCCCCCCTCCTCCTCCCATCCCCGCTCTCCCCCCTGTCCCCCGCCCATCCCTCCGCGGCAGCCAGCTCGCCCGCAATGCCCTGGATGCGCCTCTGGTAAACGACCTCTCCGCGCTCTCCAACCTGCAGAAGCTGTAAGCGCTGTCTAGTTTTGAGGCGCGCCTCACAACTAGAATCTGGTAAGCAAGCTCCCCATGCTCTTCAACTCAACCTGCAAGAAGCCGTGAGCTCTGCCCCGCCCGCTGGGCGGCGCTGCGGTGGTGGTAGGGGCTGCTTTGGTTGGCGGGTCGTGGGTGGAAGCAGGGGTGTCAGTGCGCGGTGCTGCTGGCTGGGGAGGTTGTAGGCAGGAAAGGAAGGTCCTTAGTTAAGGTACTGAAACGAGAGAAGCCAGCTTGTGTGGGTGTGAGCATGAGCTGTGGGGGTGCTGTTTGGTTGACCTGATTAAATTGATAGCGGGTTGGTTGACTTGGTCAACCCGATAGCGGGTTGGTTGACTTGGTCAACCCGATAGCGGGTTGGTCGAACAAGTTCAGGCCTCCCTTCCTTACCACCCTCACCCCCCACCCCTTCCCTGCCTCCCTCCCTGTTCCCTCCCCATCTCCCTCCCAATCTCTCTCCCCAGCGACCTGAGTGGTAACCGCATCTCCGGCGCCCTGCCCGCAGGCCTGTCCGCCCTGACAGCGCTGGAGGTCCTCTCCCTCGCCTCCAACCACCTCTCTGACTCATTTCCTGCAGGCCTCTCCGCACTCACTGCCCTCAAAAACCTGTGAGCACTGCGCTAACGTTCGAAGCTATCCTGCTAGTGTATTTTACAGATAGATACTTTTTTTAGTTTCCATGCACTACCAACCACTAGTTCTCCTCCCCTATTCCTCATCCAATAAGAAGTTAGCATGATTCCCATGGAATGGGAATGCAGTGCTGGACACCACCAAAGATTCTCCAATTCTCAGGGGATGGGATAGGAACTGGAGCTTTCATCCAATGATTCTCAGTGCCCTTACTCATCCATCATTCCTCCATCAACCCTCCGCTATCACCCATCTCCCCATCCCCTCATCATCACCCATCACCTCATCCCCTCATCACCCATCACTCATCCCTCCATCATCCATCACCCATCAACCCATCGGCCCATCACCCCATTGTCCATTCCCCACCTTCCATTCCCCATTCCCCATTCCCCATTCCCCATTCCCCACATCCATCACTCCATCCCGCAAACCCATCACCCCATCACCCATCCCCACCCCCATTACCCGTCCCTCCTTCATCCCGCATCCCCCATCCCACCCATCCCCCCATCCCACCCATCCCCCCATCCCACCCATCCCCCCATCCCACCCATCCCCCATCCCACCCATCCTTCCATCCCACCCATCCCCCCATCCCACCCATTCCCCCATCCCACCCATTCCCCCATCCCACCCATTCCCCCATTCCCCCATCACCTCACCAGCGAGTTGGGCAGCAACGCCTTCAGCGGCCCCCTGCCCGACAGCTGGAGTGCTCTCTCCAACCTGCACCTGCTGTCAGTGCCGCCCCTCCCTCCTTCCCTGCCTCTTCTTCTGCCGCCCCATAAGCGTCCCCGCATGTTGCCACCACATATAAGCTTCACCGCGTCTTATTGCGCTCTTCTGTTAAACCCCTGCCTGAACACCGCCCCTCCCAATGCCCTCTTCCATCACTCCACCAGAGAGTGTTTTTTGAGAATTCTCAAAACACTCGCTCCAATGCCCTCTTCCATCACTCCACCACCACCCCATCCCTCTCCCTACGGCGCCCTCCCTCCTCCCCTTCGCTTCTCTCCCCTCTCCTCCCCTCCTCTCCCTACCTTTCCTTTTTTTCCCCTTCCACTCCGCCCATCCCCCCCCTCACCTCTTCCCCTCTTCCCTCCCCTCCCCTCCCCACTTTTCCCTCTTTTGTCCTTCCCTCCCCTTCCATCCCCCCGCCACCCCTCTTCCCTCCCCTCCCTTCCCCCCGTCCCCTTTACCCCGCTTCCCTCCCCTTACGTACCTCCCCTCTCCTCTCCTCTCCTCTCCTCTCCTCCCCTCCCTCTTTCCAGCGACCTGGCCAGTGCGGGGGTGCGCACCCCGCCACCGGACTCATGGTCAGCGCTCTCATCGCTGGAGACCTACCCCCTCCCCCTACCCACTCCCCCTACCCCCTCCCTCTTCCCCTCTCCTCCCCTCCCTCCTCCCAGTGACCTGGCCAGTGCAGGAGTGCGCACTGCTCCTCCAGACTCATGGGCGGCACTCGCATCACTCGAGATCGTCTCGCTGCACAGCAACAACCTCACTGCGCCCTTCCCCGCCTTCCTGCTGCAGCTGCCCAACATCTCCGACATGTGCGTCTCTGTGGGTTTGGTGTGTGTGTGTGTGCGGGTGTGTGTGTGTGTGTGTGTGTGCGGGTGTGTGTGTGTGTGCAGGTGTGTGTGTGTGTGTGTGTGCGGGTGTGTGTGTGTGTGTGTGCGTGTGTGTGCGTGTGTGTGTGTGTGTGGGTGTGTGTGTGTGTTTGTGTGTTTGTGTGTGTGTGTGTTTGTGTGTTTGTGTGTGTGTGTGTTTGTGTGTTTGTGTGTGTGTGTGTGGCTGCTGCTGCTGCTGCTGCTGCGGCGGCACTCCTCTTCTCCTCTTTCCCTCCCTTCTACTGCGTTGCTGCCCCTATTGCATCATTCGCCACGAAGCGACTTTAATCACCACGCATCAGTTCTCCGTAGAAAAGGTTTTCACCCCCTTTTTTCCAACCCCTGTTTCCTTCCCTCCTTTCCTTCCCCTTTACCCCATTCGTTTTCCTTTCTGGTCCACCCCCAACTCCCCCACACCGCAGAACGCTATTCAACAACAGCCTATATGGCAGTCTGCCAGCCGCCCTCTGGAACCCCACCAAGCTCACCTTCGTGTGAGTAGCAACCCAATCCAGTCATCCACACATTCGCGTATGCATAGGTAGATACGCTATGTGGTTCCGGACATCCATGTTAATTTTCTCTCTTTTTTTATTTCACCCCGCCCTGCTCCGTTCAGTAAGGCCCTGCCCCATTCATCCCTGCCCTCCATACCCAAACATGCGCATCCACCATCGCAACCATCACATACCAGTACCATCGCCTCGTCTCCATCTGTCCACCACCCGCCCCTCCAAACCACCCCCCTCCCCCCTTCTCCCCTTCTCCCCCCCTTCTTCCCTTCTCCCCCCCTTCTTCCCTTCTCCCCCCCTTCTTCCCTTCTCCCCCCCTTCTTCCCTTCTCCCCCCCTTCTTCCCTTCTCCCCCCCTTCTTCCCTTCTCCCCCCCTTCCCCCCTCCCCAGCGAGGTGTCCTCCAACTACCTGGACGGGTCGGTCCCTCAGCCTCCTGGTTTTTGGGAATCCCACCACCCTCTCCTCTCACCGCCTACCCCTCCACATTCCCCCCCTCCACCTCCCCCCCTCCCCAGCGAGGTGTCCTCCAACTACCTGAACGGGTCGGTCCCTCAGCCTCCTGCCGGCCGCTCTGCTCATTTCAGGTGCTGCACGCCCCCTTTGCGTCCACCTCCAGGTGCACTGCAGCAGGGGCACTGCAGCAGGGGCACTGCTGCAAGGGCACTGCTGCAAGGGCACTGCAGCAGGGGCACTGCTGCAGGGGCACTGCTGCAGGGGCACTGCTGCAAGGGCACTGCAGCAGGGGCACTGCTGCAGGGGCACTGCTGCAGGGGCACTGCTGCAAGGGCACTGCTGCAAGGGCACTGCTGCAAGGGCACTGCTGCAAGGGCACTGCTGCAAGGGCACTGCTGCAAGGGCACTGCTGCAAGGGCACTGCAGCAGGGGCACTGCTGCAGGTGCACTGCTGCAAGGGCACTGCTGCAAGGGCACTGCTGCAAGGGCACTGCTGCAAGGGCACTGCAGCAGGGGCACTGCTGCAAGGGCACTGCTGCAAGGGCACTGCTGCAGGGGCACTGCTGCAGGGGCACTGCTGCAGGGGCACTGCTGCAAGGGCACTGCAGCAGGGGCACTGCTGCAGGGGCACTGCTGCAGGGGCACTGCTGCAAGGGCACTGCTGCAAGGGCACTGCTGCAAGGGCACTGCTGCAAGGGCACTGCTGCAAAGGCACTGCTGCAAGGGCACTGCTGCAAGGGCACTGCAGCAGGGGCACTGCTGCAGGTGCACTGCTGCAAGGGCACTGCTGCAAGGGCACTGCTGCAAGGGCACTGCTGCAAGGGCACTGCAGCAGGGGCACTGCTGCAAGGGCACTGCTGCAAGGGCACTGCTGCAAGGGCACTGCTGCAAGGGCACTGCTGCAAGGGCACTGCTGCAAGGGCACTGCTGCAAGGGCACTGCAGCAGGGGCACTGCTGCAGGGGCACTGCTGCAGGGGCACTGCTGCAAGGGCACTGCTGCAAGGGCACTGCAGCAGGGGCACTGCTGCAAGGGCACTGCTGCAAGGGCACTGCTGCAAGGGCACTGCTGCAAGGGCACTGCTGCAAGGGCACTGCAGCAGGGGCACTGCTGCAGGGGCACTTCTGCAGGGGCACTGCTGCAAGGGCACTGCTGCAAGGGCACTGCTGCAAGGGCACTGCTGCAAGGGCACTGCTGCAAGGGCACTGCTGCAAGGGCACTGCTGCAAGGGCACTGCTGCAAGGGCACTGCTGCAAGGGCACTGCAGCAGGGGCACTGCTGCAGGGGCACTGCTGCAGGGGCACTGCTGCAAGGGCACTGCTGCAAGGGCACTGCAGCAGGGGCACTGCTGCAAGGGCACTGCTGCAAGGGCACTGCTGCAAGGGCACTGCTGCAAGGGCACTGCTGCAAGGGCACTGCTGCAAGGGCACTGCAGCAGGGGCACTGCTGCAGGGGCACTTCTGCAGGGGCACTGCTGCAAGGGCACTGCTGCAAGGGCACTGCTGCAAGGGCACTGCTGCAAGGGCACTGCTGCAAGGGCACTGCTGCAAGGGCACTGCTGCAAGGGCACTGCTGCAAGGGCACTGCTGCAAGGGCACTGCAGCAGGGGCACTGCTGCAGGGGCACTGCTGCAGGGGCACTGCTGCAAGGGCACTGCTGCAAGGGCACTGCAGCAGGGGCACTGCTGCAAGGGCACTGCTGCAAGGGCACTGCTGCAAGGGCACTGCTGCAAGGGCACTGCTGCAAGGGCACTGCTGCAAGGGCACTGCAGCAGGGGCACTGCTGCAGGGGCACTTCTGCAGGGGCACTGCTGCAAGGGCACTGCTGCAAGGGCACTGCTGCAAGGGCACTGCTGCAAGGGCACTGCAGCAGGGGCACTGCTGCAGGGGCACTGCTGCAGGGGCACTGCTGCAAGGGCACTGCTGCAAGGGCACTGCAGCAGGGGCACTGCTGCAAGGGCACTGCTGCAAGGGCACTGCTGCAAGGGCACTGCTGCAAGGGCACTGCTGCAAGGGCACTGCTGCAAGGGCACTGCAGCAGGGGCACTGCTGCAGGGGCACTTCTGCAGGGCAAGGGCACTGCTGCAAGGGCACTGCTGCAAGGGCACTGCTGCAAGGGCACTGCTGCAAGGGCACTGCTGCAAGGGCACTGCTGCAAGGGCACTGCTGCAAGGGCACTGCTGCAAGGGCACTGCTGCAAGGGCACTGCAGCAGGGGCACTGCTGCAGGGGCACTGCTGCAGGGGCACTGCTGCAAGGGCACTGCTGCAAGGGCACTGCAGCAGGGGCACTGCTGCAAGGGCACTGCTGCAAGGGCACTGCTGCAAGGGCACTGCTGCAAGGGCACTGCTGCAAGGGCACTGCTGCAAGGGCACTGCTGCAAGGGCACTGCAGCAGGGGCACTGCTGCAGGGGCACTGCTGCAGGGGCACTGCTGCAAGGGCACTGCTGCAAGGGCACTGCAGCAGGGGCACTGCTGCAAGGGCACTGCTGCAAGGGCACTGCTGCAAGGGCACTGCTGCAAGGGCACTGCTGCAAGGGCACTGCTGCAAGGGCACTGCAGCAGGGGCACTGCTGCAGGGGTACTTCTGCAGGGGCACTGCTGCAAGGGCACTGCTGCAAGGGCACTGCTGCAAGGGCACTGCTGCAAGGGCACTGCAGCAGGGGCACTGCTGCAGGGGCACTGCTGCAGGGGCACTGCTGCAAGGGCACTGCTGCAAGGGCACTGCAGCAGGGGCACTGCTGCAAGGGCACTGCTGCAAGGGCACTGCTGCAAGGGCACTGCTGCAAGGGCACTGCTGCAAGGGCACTGCTGCAAGGGCACTGCAGCAGGGGCACTGCTGCAAGGGCACTGCTGCAAGGGCACTGCTGCAAGGGCACTGCTGCAAGGGCACTGCTGCAAGGGCACTGCTGCAAGGGCACTGCAGCAGGGGCACTGCTGCAGGGGCACTGCTGCAAGGGCACTGCTGCAAGGGCACTGCAGCAGGGGCACTGCTGCAAGGGCACTGCTGCAAGGGCACTGCTGCAAGGGCACTGCAGCAGGGGCACTGCTGCAAGGGCACTGCTGCAAGGGCACTGCTGCAAGGGCACTGCTGCAAGGGCACTGCTGCAAGGGCACTGCTGCAAGGGCACTGCAGCAGGGGCACTGCTGCAGGGGCACTGCTGCAGGGGCACTGCTGCAAGGGCACTGCTGCAAGGGCACTGCAGCAGGGGCACTGCTGCAAGGGCACTGCTGCAAGGGCACTGCTGCAAGGGCACTGCTGCAAGGGCACTGCTGCAAGGGCACTGCTGCAAGGGCACTGCAGCAGGGGCACTGCTGCAAGGGCACTGCTGCAAGGGCACTGCTGCAAGGGCACTGCTGCAAGGGCACTGCTGCAAGGGCACTGCTGCAAGGGCACTGCAGCAGGGGCACTGCTGCAGGGGCACTGCTGCAAGGGCACTGCTGCAAGGGCACTGCAGCAGGGGCACTGCTGCAAGGGCACTGCTGCAAGGGCACTGCTGCAAGGGCACTGCAGCAGGGGCACTGCTGCAAGGGCACTGCTGCAAGGGCACTGCTGCAAGGGCACTGCTGCAAGGGCACTGCTGCAAGGGCACTGCTGCAAGGGCACTGCAGCAGGGGCACTGCTGCAGGGGCACTTCTGCAGGGGCACTGCTGCAGGGGCACTTCTGCAGGGGCACTGCTGCAAGGGCACTGCTGCAAGGGCACTGCTCTAGGTGCTGTGGAATTCTGCCGAGATTCCTCAGCATCACATTCTTTCTTCTACACTGAAAACTGCACCAACATGGCTGCGTTGCTGGTTTGCCGATTGAAAAGCGCAGCCTATGGCTTTCCCGGTCTAAAAACATCGTTTCTATGAGCTTCTCACAAGCACACGTGCTCTTCTGCTGCTCATCTTTCCCTCACCTCTCTTCCTCTCCCTTCTCCCCCCATACCCCCACCAGCCTCAGCAGCAACTGCCTGGACCAGGCGCCCTCCCAGCGCCCCACAGACCAGTGCTCACGCTTCTACTCCAACCTGCCCGCCCTCATACAGTCCGGTAGCCACTCCCCTTCCCCTCCCCACCCCTCTCCCCCCCTCCCCCCTCCGCCCCCCTTCCCCCCATCTCCTCTCACCCCTCGTCGTTTCTTCCACAGTGCAACGTTGCTCCCGTGGCACCTTCTATACGCCTCCATGGGGACTCATGTTTCTCGCTCAGCCATTTCACTTGGACTCGCCATGTGCCATGCATCACTCGGCATGCACCATACACCATACATCATACACCGCACACCATGCACCATGCACCATGTACCACACACCATGCGCATTCAACTGACTCTCATGCCTGGCCTCACCATGCTGATCCCCCCCAATCTGGTGACACACCCAACCCCATGCATGCCCCCCTGCAGCTGCTGAGACCTCTCGCCCTAAGGGAGCTGCAGCTCTCACCTCCCTGCCGTCTGCATCCGCTGCAGTCGCTGCAGCAGCAGCACTGCTCATCTCACTCTCCCTGGTGCTGCTGCAATAGCACGCTGGCACACTGGCACAGTGGCGCGCTTGCGGTACAAGGGATTAGGAGTGGAGTGTTAGCGAGGCCTTCAAATGTAATCTATATCTATTTTACGAGGGGTTCTATTGAAGGCTATCCTGGTTGTACCATGGCTGCTGGAATGCGGTAAGCACCTTGGTTATTCCAACAGCCCCTCAGAACACCTTGTGGAGCAGCGTTGTCATTTCATCATGCCTTCACAACACCTTGTGGAGCAGCGTTGTCATTTCATCATGCCTTCACAACACCTTGTGGAGCAGCGTTGTCATTTCATCATGCCTTCACAACACCTTGTGGAGCAGCGTTGTCATTTCATCATGCCTTCACAACACCTTGTGGAGCAGCGTTGTCATTTCATCATGCCTTCACAACACCTTGTGGAGCAGCGTTGTCATTTCATCATGCCTTCACAACACCTCCACCACCTGATCCCTCCACACCATCCGAACCTGCCCACTCTGGTGGGCGAGGACTCTGCTGCGCTTCTCTCTCAACCTGCAAACGCTGCAAGCACTGTGCGTCTGCTGGAGTGGGCTGCTTCAGTGGGTGGGTGGGTACGGTAATGGGTGGTTGCTGCAGTGAGTTGCTGTCAGTACTCAGTATGCAGTGCTGTTGGATCGGCACGAAGGTATTAGAGGTCGCAGGAAGAGAAAACGAGACAAGTCGGCTTGTGGGGAGCGGAGCTAAACGGGAGGGAAGGGTTTAGAGGGGATGGTTCACAAAGAGGTGTCCCTTACGATCCTTACCTCTCAACAGTATCCCTTGACACCCACCCCTTCGTTGCCCTCAACATCCCCCCTACCTATCCCATCCCATTGAAGTGAGTGGTCACTGCACCCTGCGCCTTGCCACAGGCCCGACTTCTGGTCAACCTTAAACCATGAACCAGAAACTCTTCTCTTCATCCCTATCCCTAGGCTTAGAAAAGAGGTAGTCATACTCATACCAAATGACCTTCATGCCATTGTCTCAACATGTCTCGTTGAACCCAGCTTGCAGTTACTGGTGTTTCGTATTCCAGACTACACAAACCAACACTGCCATGCCAACAGTTCTCGCTATTCTATGCTTTCATTACCGACCCGTCAAAAACATGCAAAAACTACCTATGGTAATCATCAAGCTCTGCATCTTTGGCACCAGTGCCTACACCAATGTCTCACAGACTTTCTCCATGATGGTCTCATCCAACGATCACATGGCCACAGCACGTGCTGTCTCGACCGCACAGCCAGCTTCATCACATTCATTCTCCACTTCAACACCCTCTGCTGCCGGCTCCTCCTCCCGAATCCACTCCATATTCCAAGGGCAGATTCAAACAGTCACGCAGATCAGCAGCAGCAGGGAAAGCACAGGAGCCACGGCAATGCCAGCAATGGCTGCTGCTGCTGACAGGCCTAGAGACTTGGTGGCGGACTTTGCCGGCGGGGGGGGTGGTGCTGGTGAGACAGTGGGAGGGGATGGACATGGGAGGGGACGGGATGGAGACACCAGCAGTTGCAACCAAGGGGTGGGACGGACAGACAGCTTACTAACAGTATGGCACATCAATGATCAGGAAGATCAGCGCTGCTACTGGTCCTTGTCGCTGGCACGTTGGTCCCCCTCATGCATGGAGAGGGGGGTCCAGGGAAGTGGAGTGGGCATGCTTAATGAAAAACAATAGCGAGGCTGCAGAAGCAGTTCTTGTTGAATAGAGAAAGCATGAAACGAGCATAGTCAAGCAACTAGTTTCGTCTCACGAGGTGCTGGCTTGCCGCAGGTGGAGCAGAAAGAGGAACACTGGCCGCAAAAAATGCTTTGGAGCTGCTGCTGCGTCGCCAGACATGGAGAGTAGTCAGCAGGGCAGGTGAGACCACTTCCATTCAGAACCCTGCAGTTGCAAATGCAAGGGTGCGCAGACAGATGCAGGGAGGGAGTGATGGCTGGACTTCGGCCTAATAAGAGACATCTTCAATACCCGTCTTTCATAAAAGAACGATCTCCTGGCTGGCTGGGTATGTTGCAATGGTGGGTCAGCACACACATCCATAACCCTATGAGCAACAGTTGTGGTTGCGAGTCAGTCACGTCTAGTTGGAGAAGAGCTGTCACTCATACGAGAAGAGCGCTCACAAGAGAGAAAGTTGGCCGAGGTTGTTAATAAACTCGGGGATGCTGCCTGTCAGGCTGTTGTTGGCAAGGTCTCTGATGAGATGAGGGGACAGCACAGGCCATGCAGAGAGCAAGGATACTGAAAGTGTTGAGAAGGGATAACATGACAAGAATTGAAGGCATTTGTGTACATTCAAGCCAAATCAAGAGATTGTCGACTCTGAGATTTTTTTTTTTTTTTTTTTTTTTTTTTTTTTTTAGGAGCAACGGATAACGTAAAATTGGTTCAAGTTAGTGAGGCGGGAAAACAATGGCATGGAATGAAACCAGACAGTGAGTCTGATAAAGGGTGCCTCCATGCATTGCATTCTGGCTGTTTGTCACTCTCTTGGTTCTCTCACCGTCAAATGAAGGAATTGTTGAAAAAAGCAGCACGTGTTTAAGCAGCTGCTGGAAAAACGATAGGACCACTGGAATTTTGCGCTGCCTCTATTACCAGCCCTGGCAAGTCTGGTTACAATGTTGTGCAAGGAATTCAGGCTTGCGTGTATGTATGGTGCGCAAAACCGAAAGTGACAAACCCATATCCATTCCCCCCCTCCCACAAAAAATGGTATTGTACGAATATTACCACCACCCGCAAGTATTGGGTCATATACTCGCAGTTGCCAACGAGTACATATAAGTACCAACCCCGCACACCGACTATTACCCACTTGTTACCACTCATACCTGCCATTGCCAACGAGTACACCCAACGCGGTCTACCAATTATAACCCAGCTCTACGGGAGTTTTGGAAGCGAGGGGATCTTTGCATACCACTCATCCCAAACCCACTCACAAAAGTGTCAGTTTGGTCAAAAGTCCAATTGTGGATGGAATGGGTCCGGTCAGGTTGTTATCGTGTAGACTCCTGGCGAATGATGGGAAGATTATTGTAGTGTACATTGAAAAAACAAGCAACTGTAAACAGGAAATGTCAATGAGCAAACAAGACGGCAATCACTCGAATTCACTAGCTTCGTTTGTTCAAACCGGGAGAGAACAAAAAATGGTTACGTAAGCGCAGTAAAACAATGTACAATCAAGAGACTCACAAGGTGTCGAGGTCCCGAAGGTTGCTGATTGTCTCTGGGATTGAGCCCGTCAACTCGTTTTCAGAAGCAGTTCTGCACCTCATAACGGGAATGCAAGAGAACAGGGATGAAGGATCGAAATGCAGCTTGCTAGCCTAAAAGTGAACCTCCTGTCTAAGGTGGAAAAAACGGATGTCAAAGAAAGTTATTGGCAACAGATGTTACTTCCGATGGTACTTTTTGGGAGAAAAAACGACCCCCCCCCCCCCCCCCAAAAAAACAAAAGGAAGAAACAAACAAGCTTTATACTGTTATATGCTGTTGTGAGCATAAAAACGCTTCACAAGATCTCCCGGTGCATCATCAGCACTTGGTAGAAGAGCAGGCTGACCGCTTTACCCGCTCAAATAACGAGCCAGTATAGCATTCAACCTACCTGCAATTGCTGACATCCATCCGTGCAACATGCAAAGGTGGAATAGGAGGATCACATTTTGGCGTTGCGCAATACAAAGGAGCACGTAAAATAGTACTGCACCTACATGCGCCTACATCCATCCATGGCATAAGGAGTGCAACCTTGCAACCTGAGGATGAGCATGCAGCAGGGTATGCAGTACGCGTGCTTCGCATGTTAAGGAGGGATGACACAGTGGCACTCACAAGGAGCGAAGGGCTGTGAGCTTCATAAGTGAGTCAGGAATCGGGCCGGTCAAGTTGTTGCCGTGAAGGTATCTGACGAGACGAGGCAGCAATGGAATGGAGGGCATGTACACGGTGGGAGGGTAGTGCAGGCGGAGGGAGTAGTGCAGGCAGAGGGATGGATGAACAATGCTTTGGAAGTGGGACAGCAACGATCCTTTGCCTTATACACTGTTCCCATTCCTACAAATAGATTGTTTGCCACTATGAATTTGTGGAAGAGCCAAGGGGTACACGATTCATGCAATTCAATTCACACAACAGGTTCACCAAGTCAGCTTCTGCGAGTTCCATAAAGCCTCTAAGCTGCACACATCGAGCAAAATGGATGAAAGGCAAGAATGCGGTGAGAGAGAAGTGCATGCGGTGGGATGGATGTTGTTGCCTTGGGAGCAGTTATGATCGTTTGCCTCTTGTGGTGTGCCCATTCCCACAAACAGATTCTTAGTTAAGAGTACATGTGGAAGAAAAGAACCAATGGGTACAGTATTTGTGCGATCCACACTACATGAATCACTGAGCTGAACATGTTCCATAAAATCATCGAGCTAAATGTACGAATGGTGATATATCCAAGTGTATGGGGAATATTCAGAGTAACAGAGACCAAGAGGATCAACGAAATGCAAGCGTTGAAAAATGAAGTCATTGTAAGCTGAAGCATTGACCAACCGAGTAGGAGACAAAATGCTCACAAAAAAAAAAAAGGTAAAAGGGTTCGACAAAAAGCATAAAGAAATAACAGAGAATGTGAGTGTACAATCAGCGCCTTCCAACCCTTATAGCCAACCAAGCCACTCACAGCGTTTCACATTTGAGAAGGTTGCCCAGTCCTGGTGGTATGGGTCCACTCAAGTTGTTGTCATGGATAGTTCTGCAATTTGTGGAACGGGATAAGAGATTGGCATGAGCTGATCCAAGGATGGAACAATGAGTGAAGAATGCGACGATGCAACAAGATACTGGTTGTCAAGTGCAGAGAATGATAGGTGCGGGCTGCAGTACAGACACACAGAGCTTCAGGGCTGTGCATGCTGTATGGGGCCGCACCGAGCCGACGAGGGTCAAGTCGGGACGTGCCCAGCCGGCTTTGGCTCGGAACGAGCGTAAGCCAGACAGGCAGCTTGGCTTGGCAACAGGCGAGCCAGGCCGATGGCTGATGCCACCCGCTAGTTGCGCTTATCAACTCCTCCCATCAGTCAGATTGACTGTGGCAGAATTTTTGTTCCTGAAGGAGCTGATCGTGGGTATGCAGGGTCCAACCAAAGTGAACACGAGTTTGTTGGTCACAACTACATATCATGAAACGAATGGCACTTACAGGCTCGCAATATCTGTGAGTGTGGAAATGGCGTCGGGGATTGAGCCCGTCAGGCTGTTGTAGCCCAAGTTGCTGGTGGGAGACGGATGGAGGGCGCATATGTGCACGCGGCAAGAAACGAATTGACTTTTGCTTTTGAGTCGACTCAAAAGTCAGGCTGTTGTAGCCCAAATTCCTGGTGGGAGACAAATGGAGGGTGCATATGTGCATGTGGCAAGGAACAAAATCGTTGCACAGATTTGTGAAGATAGAGCGGCCGTCAAACATAGGCATGAGGAAAAGGCCGAATACATGCTCGATTTGACTCGAACATGTTCGGGGCAAACCGAACAAGATTAATTTTAGCCTGAAAATCTTCAAAACAGGCATGTGATGTGAATGCTTGGGTCAAACCTAGCTGCGCCCAACATTTCGATGTTTCTTTGGATAAACATGTTAAATGTGTCAACCCCCAATACCCTCCAGCATCTCTCCCTTTCGGAAACTGAAAAGTAAAGGGTAGAAAAACCAAACCAAACATCAAACTCAAATACAAACACTGAACTCCTTGGTATGGCAAAAAAGGTTCGATCCGAACCGAACACGTTCGTGAATGTCCGAGGCGAACCAGTTCAGGTTCGACTCTTGCTCATGCCTAGTCAAGTCAAACACCTGATGACAGATGATGGACGAGATTTGCTAAGCCTAGAATGTCCTAAACATAGCTTTGGAATATCTGTATTTTTGCCTATCGAAGCCTACTGCATGGCTCTAAACTATTGTATCCGTCCAGTGAAGAAACCAAATCGGATCAAACGTCGTGCAATACACACTTTAAGGGAGTATTGATATTAACCAGATTATGAGTTGCAGACATGAGAAGTAAAAAGAAACATGGTTTCTAAGAAGCTCACAGGATAGCCAGAGATTGGAGCCTGCTCACGGCCGCTGGTATCGAGCCGCTCAGGTTGTTATGAAGAACCCAACTGCATTTCGAAAGGGGTGAGGAATGGCCAAACACGAGTGTGTGAGTGAGTGCATATCACACCTGCATGCATGACTTCAAGTTTGCGAAGTTCCAATATGGACTAAGACCCAGAAGTATTGACAATTCAGAGATTGGATACAAAATCAGGAACAGCTGTTGTTACAAAATGACAAGAGCGTCGAATCAAAGCGCGGTTCGATTTAACTCAGCTGAGCCGGTTGGAGTTCCCCCTGCCAAAGTGTGTCGAGCTGCCACTTCCTTCACAGACTATTCCTACCCTCCTCCCTAGCACTCTCGACTGACACATGAGCATAATTGAGTCCAGATTTACTCCACTCTCGGCCCGAGTTTTTCTTACCCGGGTTCAGCTCAGCATCTGACCATAAAGTCGAGAAACAAAAAAATATCCACTCGATTTGCTTTTTACGCGACCTAAATCGAGTCAAACTCGACTTTACGGTCACTTGCTTCTGACGAACTGTGACTCGACTCCTCTGGCTCGTCTAAGGTTCTTGTACCTGAACCGATCTTTTTTTTTTTTTTTTTTTGGACTTTCTATTGGGTCATGCTGAGTCGAGCTTGATTCATCGAACCGAATGGTCGACACACGTTTTTGTCGAGCCAATTGCAGCTTGATCGCGAGATGAATAGGCTCGATTCAAGCTCCTCCTTGGCTAGCCGAAGCCAACCAGTTCGGGTCGACAAACCTTGAACCGAAAGGTTCGGCCAGAAGCTTGGTTTCGTTCGACCTACTGCCAGCTTGAGTCAGTGCAACCTGAACTTGTTCTGGGTTCGACTTTTTCTTATGCCCGCTAATTAGGCACTTACATGTTCGTAAGGCGCGAGAGCCCCGCGATGGATTCAGGAATTGTGCCATTGATGCTGTTGTAACTAAGCTGCCTGAGAAAAGGAGAGGAGGGAACAAAAGGCATGCAAGCGGAGGTAGCCACGATCGCTTGTCAAATGTCCAGCCACGCTCGGGTTGATTCGAACGAGGGAAGGGCTTATCCGAGTTTAACTCAGGCCTGTGCAAGTCCCTTTGCAGAGGAGGAGGTGCAGGCTGGCAAGCACTCCTTCTGGTAATGCATGATAGAGCAACAGCAGGAGAGACAACGAATAGGGGCAGCTGGGAAGCACATTCCAAGAGCACACAGCTCTCATGGCAACACGTGCAGGTCTCAAGGCAAGAAGAGCTCCAATCTGTAGCAAACAATGGCACTCACAAGTACTGAAGACTTGGAAGGTTGCCAATGGACGCAGGAATGGTGCCGCCCAGCATGTTGTGGGCTAGGTTTCTGATAAGACAACGAGGGGCACGCATGCATGTGTTGAGGATTGGGACTAGGTCGGCCCAGCCAGCCGGCCGCCAGCTCGGCTTGTTCGCTCGGCTCGTCTAACGGGCGAGCCAAGCCTTCTGCCTTCAACATTCGGCTCTTCTCAAGTCGTTCCCCCAGCAGCCTCGTCGGGCTGCAAGAGTCGGGCAATGAGCAGCCCGGCCGGAACCCGTCGAGACGCCCAACTGAGGTGGTTCCAAACTTGAGCTGGTTTGGGTCGAACTGCGTCGAACTGATATGCTACCCAGAGTAGACATGGGCAAAGGCGAGACAGGCAGACCTCCAAGCTGAAGCAAGCAGGGCACTCACAACTTAGTAAGGTTTGCGAGGCTGCCAATGGACTTGGGAATGGTTCCGCTCAACACGTTGTAGCTCAGGTCACTGTTCAGATAACAAAAGGGCATAACCATTTGTCAGATCCGATGGCCAGCTACACTCGGACCGAGCCAGCTTGGCTTGATCGTAAGCAGGGAGGGCTTATCCAAGTTTGACTCGAGGCGAGCCTGTGTGCACATTGGTGTGCCTTTTAAGTTGATTCGAGTCAAGCCTTTGCACAACCGCGTGCATGGTGGAAGTGCAGATTGCGGGCACCACTAAAGAGGGTAATGCATGATATGATACAACAGCAGGAGAGAGGTAATAGGAAACTGCAGTAGAGCATATTCCAAGAGCATACAGACAGCTCACGCAACACGTGCAGATCTCAGGGCATAAATGGCTGCAATCTGGGACAGATATCCACAAGTACGCATGTCACTCACAGGCTGTTAAGAGTTGCAAGGGTGGTGATGGACTCAGGAATGGTGCCAGTCAACGTGTTGTGGTTCAGGTCGCTGTAAAGGCAATGAAGGGCATGCATGCAGGAGCAGGACCAGACGTCGTGTTGTGTTAATAATCCGGATTAGGCAAGAGCAGGTGGCCCAGCCGACAGCTCGCCTCGTTTGTTTGTTATCTGAAGAGGTGCCGAGCCGACTCAACTCAACTAGCCGCATGAGCCGGGCAATGACAAGTCACACCAGGCCAGATCTGCAGCACAGAAAAGGCCCAAGGGGCATGTCATGGCACTCACAAGTAAGTAAGGTTCGCAAGTTTGCTAATGGAGCCCGGAACGGTGCCGGTCAACATGTTGCGCGCCAGATCTCTGAAAAGACAACCAAGGGCATGCACGAGTTGATACTCCAGATTGGGCAGCCGAATGTTTGGCTCATCCCAAGTCGTGCCAGCCGGCCGGCTGTACAAACTGCAATATCCAAGCCATGAGCAGCCTGGAACCTGTCAACAAGCCGAGACAGGCCAGACCACGCAAAGCTGCCATGTGATGGGACAAGCCTGCTCGGATGGTCACGAGACGCCCCGGCTCGGGACCAGCCACGACCACCTTGGCTTGCGTTGCGTTAAAAGATTCAAAGAGAAAGGGCTTTATCCGACTTCGACTTGGGCTTGTGCACATCCCTGCGCACAGGAGGAGGTGCAGGCTCGCAGAGACCCCTTCTGGCAATGCATGATACAGCAACACGAGGAGAGTGTGGATAGGAGACAGCAGGAGAACACACACCAAGAGTACACAGATCATAGGATCACCAGCAAATCTCAAGGCATGAAGAGCTCCAATCCGATCTGAGCCACAGCCTCCAAAAAAAGATGGGACTCACACAGAAAGATGGCATGGCACTCACAAGTGATTAAGATTTGCGAGGTTGGTAATGGACTCGGGAATGGCGCCAGTCAAGTTGTTGGAATAAAGGTCTCTGTTACGACAACGAATGGCATGCATAGATGCATGCACGCATGTGTCAGGGATCCGAATTAGGCAGAATCAGGTGGCTCTTGTCGTAGTGCATGCATGATACAGCACCAGCGGGATAGAATGCATAGACGACAGCTGGAGAGCAGGGTCCAAATGGTCACAGCTCATGGCGGCACCTACAGTTCTCAATGCATCAACAGACGCTAACCTGAGTCAAAGCCCAAACAAGCACGGCACTCACAAGTGAAGAAGATTCGGCAGCTTGCCAATGGACTCAGAAAGGTTTCCGGTGAGCATGCTGTACGCCAGGACCCTGACACAAAGCAGCGAGCCAAGGGCATGCATGCATGTGTTGAGAATCAGGACCGGGCAAGAGCAGGCGGCCCAGCCGGCAGCTCGGCTTGACCGGTCAGATGCGAGGGTCGTCTATCCAGGTGCCCGATCTGCACTGATCGGCAGTCGAAATGAGCCGATCATTGCAGGTCATTGGTTAGAAACCACACGAATTCCGCGCGGATAGTTGAACGGAAACCCGTTATGCGCAGGGTTTGACTTTACACGATTTCACGCAAACTGGCGAACTCAAACTGAGAATTCGCCGAGCTGCGTGGTTGACAGATTCGCCAACCCAAGCCCCTTCCTCAAAGGTTCAGGGCGTTATCAAAAGCACCCTGCAACTCAGGATCTAGGATTGTTTTGGTCCACGAGCAGGCCTGGATCCTCGCAATGCAGGGCCGCTTCGGGTTTGACACATGCAAAAGAAATGTACGCGGTTCGTTTGTCGCGAGCCAAACCGGGGCTTGAAACCGTGCTTGTCTACCCGATCTCATGGTGTGCATACGTCCAACTCGAGACAAGGCCCAAGAAAAAATGGCACTCACAGGGTATTAAGATTCGCAAGGTTGCTGATAGAGTCGGGAATGGAGCCATTGAAGTTGTTGTTCTCCATGTTTCTGATGAAATGACGACAAAGAACATGCATGCAGGTGTCAAGAATAATGAATGGCGCGTGTGTAGGCATGTGTAGACTCAACATGGTGAGATTGCGAAAGCTCTCTGAGGGTTTAGGGCTTCTCAGCACACACACACGGCTTTGCGATCCACACAACCAGCACGTTGTGATTCTGATCTTATCAAACTGGGTGACATAGGAGGAGGTGAACGAAGGCAAACGACCCTATAATGCACGATAATACAGCAGGCTGGGAGCATACGGGTAGAACAAAACTTCGGAACAAAATCGGAATGAATCATTTGGACCAGAATTGGACCACAAGGGACAAGGGGGCGTGGTGAGGCCACGAGGACCTACCATTCATCCACGGGCCGCCCAGGGTTCCACTCACATGGCTGTTATCATGCCCCTGGCATCGCACGTGACGTTCCTTGCCTTGCTGCAGTCCCCACCAACCACCCAGCCGTCAATCGTCGTGTTCCACGCCTTCTGACAGTCCAGCAGGACTTGCGCTGGCGGCAGGAAGAGGGAATGCAGGATCGATCGATCGATCGAGAGGAGGACGACTTCTGATGGTTGGACCGATCTCATCACAAACGCGCGCAACAAAGGGCGGCGATGCAGAAAAGGAGCAGAGATGAAGGTGTCAATGTCACGATCAAGTCGAATCAACGTCCAAGTTTTTCACTTGTCTCCTCTCTCCTCTAACATCACCACTCCAGGCGCGAAACGTTATTATACCCTGGGACTTGGCAAGCGGAACGCAGTCAACACGTGAGACTGCGAGACACGTCAGCAGGAGCAGCGCGACGAGAAGTGCGCGCTCCATGAGGAAAAGCGTCGCTTTCGAGAGTGTAACAATGGCGGAATCGGCTCCAATGAGCGCAAAATTTCGCTAGGGAAGAAATATGGCAGTCTCACTAGTTTCTACCAGATTTTGAACCAACTGCAAGCGATAGTGTGCTTGTTTCAAGCACTGGTACTAACAGCCAGTGGCCTAATCAGTACAGTTGAGCCCTCTTGCCTTTCAATTGCGACTCGGGTTATCAGACGGCTCAATCAGATTTGTTGTTGTGGAGCAGGTTACCGTTCGCCTTCACAAGCGTGGTTTTCGTGGACACGTTCTGTTCGAGCTCCTTTCCAGTTTCTTTTTTGAGCGATAACGCCCAGGCGGAATCTCTCATTTCTTCGGGCAAAACTCGACGAGTACCCTGCTGTCCCAGGCTGTGGCTGAAACGCACTGGAGGATGGTTGAGGACGAGAACCGTGAATGGTGGAAGGCTTCAGATCTCGCCAAGGAAAACCATCAGCGAGACTCGGATTGCCAGACGAAAAGCGGGGAGAAACTCAAGTCCGAAGTTGTAGAGCTCCTGCCAGACTTAGGGGTTCCAGCTTCACACGAAGCCTAAACACCCGAATTTCGACAGCACATCGATGCTCAGTTGACACGAAGGTAGCTCCGAATCCTGAAGGGTGTCCTCGGTACATCATTCTAATTTCCATTTTTTTCACAGAACCGGCCCTGGGAAGGAAGGTTATTTTTGTGGAATTAAAGCTGTCGTCTACATACCTGGCGGGAGAGGCTCTGGTTTATCACTTGAAAACCAGGTAGCCTTCCGCTTCAGTGGCGAGGTGTGTTTCCGAGTTTGTGACAACACAACCCCCGCCTGTAATTTCACTGCTCATGATTGGCTAATTAATTTCGCCAAACCCCTCCCCAACCCAACCTCACGAAATTATCGCGAAGTCACCGAGGGTTGTTTCCCAACCGAACCAAATCACGACACTGGCGGATTTCGCCAGTTCTTTTTGACTCCCTCGCACCTACTGATACTGGAAGCGGGTCATTCGTAAGCAAATCAGCGTGCGTCGTTGGGTGTGCATCCTAAATAACCCCGGAAAATACCTCGAGGAATGTAGACCGCAGCTTTAACTGCCTTCATACATCGCAAATACGGGTAAGCGGTCGCCTACAAACCCCCGCTGTTATCCAATTCATTTGCGATTCGGACTTGTTAGACGGCTCGATCGGGATTTGCTGTTGGATCTTTGGTTGCGGAGGAGTTGCATACGTGTCCATCTCTCAATGGGCTTCCCACGTGCTGTTTGGGACAGGTGTTGTTGGTGACAGGGTCGGTCTTATCAAGACTGGTTCTTCCATGTGATCCTGAATTAGTTTCCCATAACAGTCTCTTTAATTCCGAATATCTCACTATCTCTAGCGTGTCACTCAATATCGGAGTTACCCTTCACCAACACTCGCCACTTCGTCGAGACTCGAATCTCCCCACTCGATCCCTTTGGCAAACTAGTCGTGGTCTGCACAGAAACCATTAGTCGCACCGTTTTCGGGGAGGGGTAGGTAGCTACTTTTTCCGGGCCCAGTAGCAGCCTCACTGCTTTCGTGTTCTATAACTTTTTAGAAAGGAATAGTTCCTCAGGGTTTCACGATAGAGTGTTTGAGAGTTTCGTCTGCAGCTGCCTCTGCCCCTTCCCCCCTTCGCCCAGGCATGTGGAAGCGCAAATTCTCCGCCGCCGGCGGAGATGCTTCCGCCGAACCTTCCGCCTCGCGCGGCCGTGGCGCGGGTGGGAGCGGAAGCGGAAGCAGCGGCTTCGGCTTCGTGCGCTCGGGGGGAAGCGCGTACACGCCGCCCGTGAATCCCGCCGGCTCGTACGGCGGATTCGGCGGCGGCGGCAGCAGCTACGCCGGATACCGTGGCGGCTCGGGTCGGCGGTCGCTGCCGGACGACGAGGACGACGATATAGCGGATATCGAGTACCGCGATGACGGGGATGCGGGGGGCGCCACGACGGCCACTGGTTCCGGGGAAGGAGAAGATGACGAGGGAGACCGGCGAGTGGCGGCGGCGGAAGAGGAGGAGGAGGAGGAGGATCCGCTTGACGCGTTCATGTCGAGCATTGAGCGGAAGGTGAAGGAGGACGCGGTCGCCGCCACCACTCGCGCAGCGGCGGTGGGCGCGAAGGGCGGGGAATCGGGGGAAGTCGCAAAGCCGGAGCGGGAGGACTGGCGCGCGGAGGAGGAGGAGGCGGATCTGCTCGACTCGTTCCTCCGCGCGCGCAAGAGCGCGGGGCTGTCGGTGGCGGCGGAAGCAGTGATGGGGCGCGGGTACGACTCGGACGAGGAGGTCTACGCCGCCGCCAAGGCCGTCGACGCCGCTGCCGCCGCCGCCGCCGCCGGCGGCGCTGCGGGCGGTGCGGCTGGGTCCGCATTAGAGTACGACTCGGACGATAACCCGATAGTAGCTGACTCGGTAACGTCGCTTAAGAGTAAGATGGACGCGCTAGGCCACGTGGACCACTCCGCGATCGAGTACGACGAGTTCGAGAAGGATTTCTACCAGGAGCATCCTGACGTCACCGCCATGTCAGCAGCCGACGTGGCGGCGCGGCTCGCGGCGCTCTCGATCCGCACGTCCGGCTTCGACGTGCCGCGCCCGATCAGCGCGTTCGCGCACGCCGCGCTCCCCCCCGCGCTGATGGGCGCAGTGCGCAAGCACGGCTACTCCGCGCCGACCCCCATCCAGTCCGCCGCGCTCCCCATCATCCTCAGCGGCCGTGACGTCATCGGCGTCGCGAAAACCGGCTCCGGAAAAACCGCCGCGTTCGTCCTCCCGCTGATCGTCCACGTCGCGGACCAGCCGCGCGCGGGGCGCGGGGACGGCCCCATCGCGCTGATCTGCGCGCCCACGCGCGAACTCGCCGCGCAGATCCACGCGGAGGCGCGCCGGTTCGCAAAACCCTTAAACCTCCGCGTGGCGGGCGTGTTTGGCGGGATGTCGAAATTCGACCAGTTCAAGGAGCTGAAAGGGGGGGTGGAAGTGGTGGTGGCGACGCCCGGGCGGCTGATCGACATGCTCAAGATGAAGGCGCTGTCGCTGCGACGCTGCACACTGCTCGTGCTGGACGAGGCCGACATGATGTTCCACCTGGGCTTCGAGCCTCAGGTGCGAGCCATCGTGGGGCAGATCCGCCCCGACCGCCAGACTTTGCTCTTCTCCGCCACCATGCCGCGCCGCATCGAGCGCCTGGCGCGCGACATCCTCACGCACCCCGTGCGCATCGCCGTGGGGGAGGTGGGCGCCGCAAACACGGACGTGCGGCAGCAGGTGGTGGTGCTGGCAGGGGACGACGCCAAGGTCCCGTGGCTGCTGGGGGAGCTGGGCACGCGCGTGGACGAGGGCGACGTGCTCGTGTTTGCCGGGACGAAAGCCAAGGTGGATGTGGTAACCGCCGCCGTCGCAACCGCGGGGTTCAAGGTCGGCGCGCTGCACGGGGACTTGGACCAATCGCGGCGCAGCGAGGTGGTGCGGCAGCTGAAGAAAGGGGAGCTGCACGTGGTGGTGGCGACTGATGTAGCGGCCAGAGGGCTTGACATCCGGTCCATCAAAACAGTGATCAATTTGGACAGTGCGAGGGACATGGACGCGCATGTGCATAGAGTGGGAAGGACGGGTCGGGCGGGGGACACGGATGGAGTGGCGATTTCGGTGGTGACGGGGAAGGAGGCGCGGTTTGCGGGCGAGCTGGTGGGGTGCCTGGTGGCTGGGGGACAGGAGGTTCCGCCTGAACTGCTGGAACTGGCAATGAAGGTGAGAGGGATTGGGGGGAGCAAAAGTGAGGGGAGATGGGGGGGGGGGGCTGGGTGCGGGAGGAGGGGTGTGGATGAGGGGTGTGGATGAGGGGTGTGGATGAGGGGTGTGGATGAGGGGTGTGGATGAGGGGTGTGGATGAGGGGTGTGGATGAGGGGTGTGGAGGAGGGGTGTGGAGGAGGGGTGTGGATGAGGGGTGTGGAGGAGGGGTGTGGAGGAGGGTGCCCGGTGGCCGGCGGGCAGGAGGTGCCGGCTGAACTGCTGGAACTGGCGATGAAGGTGATTGGCGGTTGCGGGGGGGAGGTAAGGGGTGGGTGCTGGTTGTGAGAGTGAGGGTGTGGGACCTAGTTCATTTGACAAGGTCCTGATTCGGGTAAGGAGTGTTGCAAGGGTGTACTAGAACGTGATGAGAGGGAGGGATGGGGCGTTGATGGTGGGGTGTTGCTGCAGGTTGATGGGGCGGCGTGTGTCTTCCTCTGGGTCCTCCGCTTTCTCGGCTCCTTGTTGCCTTCTTCCTCAACTCGCCCCGTTCTTGGTGTTCCGTTTCCTTCTTTCACAGGATGCGCGGTTCAGAGCGCAGAGGGAGGGCAGAGGAGGTGAGTCACTCAGCTCCCTTTTTCTCTCCTCCACCATCTCTTGCCGTTTATCCCTTACTCCTCCCACGTCCTCCCATCCCCCCCCCTCCCCCTCCCCCCCCTCCCCTCCGCCCCCCCTTCCCCATTCTATAAGGAATTTCCCCATGTTTCTGCCTCTTTTTTTGCACCAGTTGCACTAGTTTACCCTCCAAAGCACCGCATATGACCCCTGCTCCCCCCCAACTTACATGCTTCTCCTTTCCGTCGTTCCCTGCACCCTACCTTCCTGCCTCTCTCCCTCTCTGCATCTCCTGCCGCCTTCTGCCTGCCTCCCTCCCTCACTGTGTTTTCTTCCTGCACCGTCCCTCCTCTCTTCCCTCTCAACCCGCCACCCTTTCACCATACCCTCCACAGGTTTCCGCAAGGGCAAGGGGGGGAGGGGCGGAGGGGGAGGGGGGAGGGGAGCGCGGGGGGTAGACTATGGCATGGGGCTGGGCTTCCAGGAGGGGGGAGGGGGTGGAGGGGGAGGGGGAGGGGGAGCAGGAGGGGGCAGAGGCGTGGGGCCGAAAGGTGGGGGGCGAGGGAGTGGGGCGAATGCGTTTGTGTCTGGGGGATCACTGGGTGTTGATGGTGCTGCTGCTGCTGCTGCTGCTGCTGCTGGCGGCGGCGGTGGTAGCGGTGCTGCTGCTGGTGGCAGGGGCAGCGATGGGGGCAGCAGGGCGGGCACGCGAGCAGGGGCAGTGGATGCACTGCGGGTGGGCATGATGGCCAGGTTCAAGTCCTCCTTCGTTGCTGCCTCTGCTCCCCACCCCCACGACCCTGTCCCCGACCTCCCTCTCCCTCCTCCGCCTCCCCCGCCTGCCCCTGCCGCGTCTCTGCCCGCTCATCCAGCCCCTGCTGCTGCTGTCCTTGCCGCACCACAAGCAGCAGTCGCACCTCCAGCTTGGGGGGCGGGCGGTGGTGGTGATGCTGCTGCTGCTCCTGGCGGCAGCAGCATGGGGGCAGACGTGGTGGCCGCTGCGATTGCAGCGGCTGCAGCCAAGGCTGCTGCTATTGCTGCTAGCCTGGGCCTGCAACCTCCCGGGGGAGTGGGTGGGGCAGCAATGGGAGCTGCAGCAGGAGGGGCATCAATGGGAGGAGGGGTGACGGTGGCGGTTGCAGGCATGGGTGCTAGTGCAGGCGGAATAGATGGTTCTGGGGAGGCAGGGGGTGGAGGTCAGGAGAGAGGGTGGGACAGGGATAGAGAGAGAGACAGAGAGAACGACAGAGATAGGGAGAGGGACGGATATGGAGGTAGGGAGAGAGGCAGTGAGAGGGAGAGGGAGAGATATAGAGAAAGGGAGGGGGATCGGCAGCGTGACAGGGATCGGGAGAGACACAGAGAGAGTGATCGAGATGGGGGTAGGGACAGGGACAGGGACAGGGACAGGGATAGGGATAGGGAGAGGGATAGGGAGCGGGGGAGATATGGGGAGAGAGAGGAGAGCAGCAGGGGGAGGGAGGAGGGCGGGCGGCAACGGTCCAGCCGATGGGGATGAGGGCATGGGGAGATGGGGAGATGGGGAGATGGGGAGATTGGGGGATGGGGGGATGGGGGGATGGGGAGATGGGGAGGTGGGGAGATGGGGAGGTGGGGAGGTGGGGAGGTGGGGAGATGGGGAGATGGGGAGATGGGGAGATGGGGAGATGGGGATCACTGGAGCGTGGTGAGCGTTTTGCCGCATGGTGGAGAGAAGGGTATGACGCGGGTGATTGTAGGGGCTTACCTCTCACTACCCTCACTCACACGTATGGCTTTACTGCGACATCTTCCCTGTCTTCCATTTTCTGCCGATTTGCCTCTTCCAACACGACCACTGACGGGGTTGCGAAGTGCAATAGTGGTTGCAGCGGCACCGTCATGGCACACACGCAAGTGCCATCATGTGCCATTGTGCAACATTGTCTTTTACCATACTAGTTTCATGTTTGATGGGTTGTGATTGGCTAGGACGGTAGTCATTCCAAAGTAGCGTCTGATGTCTTCGGTTCGTTCTGCTGTGCATGCGATGTGCTTCAATGATAGTAGAAGTCTACACACCATGTAGTGTAAGGGAACATTCCTGAAGCGCGTCACAAAAGCCTCGCGTCTCAAACGACTAGATACAGTGCGGTGTAAATGTTCGATTCTTAGGTGTAATGCGGTACAGAACGATACGTAGGTTTTATGACGAGATTGAGACACTTGTGTCCCCACAGGAATGTTCCCTAAGTAATCCACATTATTTTTGAATGTTTTGAATTTGTTTAGAAATTACACTTCATTTCTACTGCTCACTGGAATTACACAACGTCAAACTGTCGCCAAACGGGTGACGCAATAAAAGCACTTGGATCCCCCCAGCATTCCCATTCACCTTTTTAGTCGTCAGTGTTAGGCCGACTCAGATTCTAGTAAGCTGCTGCTCTCCCGGCCGAACTTGGCTGCTACCTGTTTTCACGCTCCGCCGTTGATCTAGGAATCCCGTCCCGCAGTGCTTGGCGTAAAGTTTGATTTGCCTAGTTGCGCGCTACAAAAAGTCAATTCGCCTGGTCTCGTCGTAAGCTGAAAGCCTAACTTGCCTGTTCGCGCTATAAGCAGAAAGATCGATTCGCCATGTCGGTGAGTGATACTCTCCTTCCCGATTCCTTCCGTGCGCGCTTTCCGAGTGAATCTCTCACCGTCCAGTAAATCTCATCAACGGCACGGATTGGTGCGCTGCCTTTCGGCCCATCTCATGACCGCTGCGATTTCCAGATTTCGATCGCTGGTTGAAATTTAGCACAATAAGAAGCCGCCTATCAGAGCCGTCGATCTCGATCTCCGCGTCCAATCAGAGGCCTTCGTTTCGCGTAGCCCTCGCGGCGCGACTTTCCTCTTTCTCTTTCCGCGTTCCCCTTGAGATCACGTCGTACAGGGTAAAAGGGAAACACGATACTACCCGTAGTGACGACAGTGACGACACTGATGGCAGGTTCCGCAGCGGCCGCATAGACGGTCGATAGCCTAGCGGCGATCACCATGGCATTTAGTGTTACTTTTGAGAATTCTCAGCGCCTCACTTTCCGCAGCCCCTTCACAATTCCCCCACTGCGCCCCCTGAACACCCCCTTGCGTCGCTCCCCCCCCACACCCCGCCGCTCTCACCGCATCCCCCTCACAACCTCCTTCCCCCTTTCCCCACTCTCCCCCTCCCCCCCCCTCTTCCCCCCCCCCCCACACCCACCTCCTTTTCTCCGCACCCCCCTCAACCCCCGTCCTCGCACCCCTGTCGTCGTCAGATCACGTCGTACAACGGCGGCGCGGTGGTCGCAATGAAGGGCGACAAGTGCGTGGCGATTGCGTGCGACCGGCGTTTCGGCGTGCAGCTGCAGACCCTGGCGACGGACTTCAACCGCGCCTTCCAGATGCACCCGCGCCTCTTCCTCGGCCTCGCGGGGCTGGGCACCGATGTGCAAACACTGTGAGTGACGTCTCCTCTCACGTGCCTCACTTAAGCCAACTGGTCCTGGCGCGCGCGTCTCAGATTCATGACTGCCTCTTTTTCGGCCTCGCCGGGCTGGGCACGGATGTGCAAACACTGTGAGTGACGCGTATGGTGGGGAGGTGGTCCGACGAGAGGGGGGGATGGGGGTGGGGAGGGTCCCCTTGGGCGTGCAGCTGCAGACCCTGGCGACGGACTTCAACCGCGCCTCTTCCTGGGCCATGGTAGGTGCGGATGTAACATGGGGGAGGGGGGAGGCCCGGAGGGGCATGGGCAGTGCAGCTGCAGGTCGTGGCAGCGACGGACTTCAATCGCGCCTTTCAAACTCACTCACCCCCGCCTCTTCCTTCCTTGGCCTCGCCTGCTTGGGCGCCGACGTGCTGACGCTGTGAGTGCCTCGCTGTGAGTGCCTCGCTGTGAGTGCCTCGCATGCTGCTAGGATGTGCGGAAGGGGGATGGGAGGGGCGATAGAAGCAGGACACACAGTACGTGGTTGGGTGCGCAGGGATCATGCCGATGGCAGGTGCGGATGGCTTTTGAGTCGACTCAAAAGGGGGACATGCCGATGGCAGGTGCGGATGGCTTTTGAGTCGACTCAAAAGGGGGACATGCCGATGGCAGGTGCGGATGGCACGCAGAAAGTAGGTACGGGTGGGAGGTGCGGGTGGGTAGCGTGGTGGGGGGAGGGCTATGGGCAGTGTGAGTGCGGTGCGGTGGGGTGCAGCTGCAGACCCTGGCGACGATCCGGGCGTACATAGTCTCACGTGTCAGGCCGTGGCGAGGAACTCTATGAGTGCTGCGCATGCCCGTGGGGTGTGTGGAAGGGGGATGCGGATGGGAGGTGCGGGGGGACATGCTGATGGGAGATGGGGATGGGAGGTGGAGATGGGTACCGGGGGGGAGGGGGCCAGGTTCGAAGGGCATGTGCAGTGCTGCAAAGTCCATTACTTGGAATACTTATGGACGCATGTGCAGTGCAGAGCGCGAGTGTGACAGCTAGGGTGGAGGGAGGGGCAGGGTTGATGGGGCGAGGGATGAAGTAAGGAGGTAAGAGGCGAAGGATAAGTAAGAGGATAAGTGAGGAGTTGAGAGGGCAGCTGGGAGATTGCAGGTGGGAGGAAGGGATCTTTTAGAATTTAGACTACTGGGCCCGGCTTTTCCAGTAAAATTCATGCTGCAAAGCCCATCACATGGAATACTTATGGGCTCTTCTAAGCATCACCGCCTGTCACATCCTCTGTCCCCGCCTTTCCTTCCTCCCTTTCCCCCTCCTCCCACTTCCACCTCCCCCCCCCGCCCCTTACCTTGTGCTCACTACGGCAGTAAGAAGCGCATTGAGTTCCGCCACAAGCCCTTTGCCCTTCCCCTCTTGCCCCCCTCCTCCTCTCCTCCCCCCCCCCCAACCCCCCTTGCCCCACCGTCACAGCAAGCAGCGCCTGGAGTTCCGCCACAAGCTCTTCGCCCTGAGGGAGGACCGAGTCATGCCGCCCGCCACCTTCGCCCACCTCGTCAGCTCCATCCTCTACGAGCGCAGGTGGGGCCAGGTTCATCCTCCACACAAGGACACACTGACCCACACAGGTGTTTCTAACTATGTTGTTGCCACGTATTGGCACCATGGCTCTATTGGACTCACCTTCGCCCACCTCGTCAGCTCCATCCTCTACGAGCGCAGGTGAGGCCAGGTTCATCATCTTCACAGGCGTTTTTAAGTAAGCTGTTGCCACGTATTGGCACTATGGCTCTACTGGACTCACCTTCGCCCGCCTCGTCAGCTCCATCCTCTATTAGAGCAGGTGCTGTCGGTGCTCTTGTTGCCTCCACGTTGGCCTGTGCGTCATTGTTGTTTGAAGCATCCTCTACGAGCGTAGGTCAGCTCCATCCTCTACGAGCGTAGGTCAGCTCCATCCTCTACGAGCGTAGGTGAGGCCAGTATTTGCGTCTTTGTTGTTTGACGCATCTGCGACTAGCGCAGGTTCACCCCACATTTGCGTCATTTGGATAGCTGTGCAACAGCTGTGCGCTAGCTCTGCGCATTCACCTCGTCATTGACTCGCCATCCCCCCGTCACCTTTTCCGGCGTCTCAAAAGCAATAGCTTTACGTTAGGTCAGAAGCATCATTCAGGTAGAGTCAGCATTGGAGCACCGAGGCACGCTGACTGCCAGCTGCAGGCGAATGTGAGGCAGCGATGAATCACCTAAATGAATTGATCAGGAGTGGTGACCTCCCGTGTGGTGAGGCGAGTTTTTAGTCGACGAAATAGTCACTTGAAATGAATGTGTCATGAGTGGTGAGCTCTCTCCCATACTTGTCCCTCCCAAACATTTATTTCTTCCATTTCTGTCCCCTATTCTTTTTATTTTCTCACCCCGCCCACACCTGGCCATCAGGTTCGGGCCGTACTTCATCGAGCCTGTGATTGCAGGTTTGGAGGATGATGGCACTCCCTTCATCTGCGCCACTGACCTCATCGGTGCCTAGTGAGTGCTGCTGCTCTCTCTCCTTTCAGTAGCTTCTCTGCTACTTCCATCCACCTTCCGCCCCCCTTGATCCACCCCGCTGATCTCAGTGGTGCTTGGTGAGCTCTCCCCTTCTCTCCCTCCTCTCACTCACCAAGAACGGTGGTGACCTTTTCTTTTCTTTTACCAGACCCTATCCTCCCCTCTCCCTTCACCCCCCACCCTGCAGTGAGGAGTGTCCCGAGTTTGGCGTGGCAGGGACGGCGGACGAGTCGCTGTTTGGGGCGTGCGAGTCGTACTGGCAGCCGGCTGGAAGAAAATGTCGAGTTTTTTCTGTCAGACCAACTCGGACCAACTCACAAGCCACCGTCCCCCCCCTTCCCACCTTGTCGCCTTCACCAAACCCTCCCTCCCCTCCCCTCCCCTCCCCCTTCCCTGCCTTTCCGCCCTCCCCACCCCCACCCCACCCTGCAGTGAGGAGTGTCCCGAGTTTGGAGTGGCGGGGACGGCGGACGAGTCACTGTTTGGGGCGTGCGAGTCGTACTGGCAGCCGGGGCTGGAAGGCCCTGCCAGGCCCACTCACACCGACTCAGACCCACTCACAAGTCACCATCTCCCCCCTTCCCACCTTGCAGCCTTCACCAAACCCTGTCTCCCCCTCCCCTCCTTTTCCACTTCCCTCCCCCCCCCCTTGTCTCCCCGCCCTCCCATCCCCCCACCCCGCAGTGAGGAGTGCCCCGAGTTTGGAGTGGCGGGGACGGCAGACGAGTCCTTGTTTGGTGCGTGCGAGTCGTACTGGCAGCCGGGGCTGCAGCCGGAGGAGCTATTTGAAACCATCTCGCAGGCGCTGCTGGCCGCTGTGGATAGGGACGCGCTCAGTGGATGGGGGGCTACTGTGCATGTCATGTGAGTGCATGGGGTGCCACCGTGCATGTCATGTGAGTGCATGGATGTGATGTGATGTGAGTGGATGGGATGGGTGTGATGTGAGTGGATGGGATGGGTGTGATGTGAGTGGATGGGATGGGTGTGATGTGAGTGCATGGATGTGATGTGATGTGATGTGAGTGGATGGGGTGGGTGTGATGTGAGTGGATGGGATGGGTGTGATGTGAGTGGATGGGATGGGTGTGATGCTAGTGGATGGGGTGCCACCGTGCATGTTATGTGAGTGCATGGGGGTTATGTGAGTGGATGCATGCCTTGTGAGTGCATTCATGTCCTGTTATTGAATGCATGCATGCCATGTGAGTGGATGCATGCCTTGTGAGTGCATTCATGTCCTGTTATTGAATGCATGCATGCCATGTTAGTAGATATAAGGCACTTGGCATGTCATGTGCGATGCACAGTGCATGGCACAGGATGTGTCTGTTCTGCTTTGATACCGTAACACAATGATTACCTGCGCATCCTCTTTGGTCTTCATGTTTCTCACCCCTCTGATCGGTTTCCTTCCGTTCCTTGCAGTACTCTTGACAAAATTATTACTCGCACACTCAAAGGCCGGATGGATTAATGGCCCGAGATGGGAAACTGAGCACTGCTGTGTTTTGAGTACATCTTGTTCACTGTAGTATGTTGTCATGTCATTGCTTGTGAAACCCTAGCCAACATCTTTGGTGTAAAAGAGTATCCATATATTTGTATCCAAAGAACATCCTGGTTTCTCAAGAAACATTCAATAATTTACCCCTCGCTTGGTATGTCTGATATGCTACCCTTTTCTTTTGCGAATGTTCCGTTCTCGCCAACCATGGCTGTTCTCTGCATTTCCACCCCTCCGTCAATGGAGTCAACATTGCATCTGCGCCAATGAGCAAACATTGACGCTTTTCTCGCTCGGTCCGCTTTCTTCGTTGTGTGTCGTTGTCACCCGAGCCTCGTTGGCGAGCTGCCTTGTCGCGAACGTGGGTGGTGGTGCCTGGTTACAAAATCACAACACGTCGGCTCGATTCGCACTGCATTCGCAATTGACAAATTAAGAAATTCCGGGCGTGTAACTAATTCCGTCCGGACGGAGGCCCGTCCGTACTTTTGTAGGGTTACAAAATTCGCCTTAGTTCGTGAGGAACTCCGCAAGCCACCCTGCGACGTCGCCACCGTCCGGACCAAATCTGACACTTTTTTGTCAGAAGGGGTCCGGACCATCCTTCTGACACCGTCCGAACGGCAAAGCGGACCGTCCGTCCTACCTGCGCTGTCATTGGCGCACGAAGTTTATTTAAAATTTCGAGTGTGCTGATGTAATGCGTGTTACTTTTCGCAGCTACGGTACATTAAAAATTCGCCCACGAAAAGTTCCACATCTGTGGTCCGGACGGGCTGTCGTCCGGACCTGTGTACCAAACGTCCGGACGGAGCTTCGTCCGGGCGGTTTGGAAGCTATGTCCGGACTTGGGCCTCTTTCGGAAAAAGTTACACGCCCTAACCACCAAATGGAGGCAAGGTACTGCCAAAGGAAAATACAAGATCCTCCCACAGCTCACTCATCGTTTTGCTCAACGCTTCTCATTTCCTAAATTCCTGCTCACCTTATTTCTCATTCTGAGCTGGACCTCTCCTTGGACTCCACGTATTCTCCAGTCATCGACAGCCGCAATATCATATTCTCCAGAGGTTATCGTAACTTTCTGATTTGGCGTTTGAAATCGTGACAAACGCCTTCATACTACTTCAAGTTGCTTGAACACGTTGGAGATATTGGATGCAGCCGCCGCAATGGAGCGCTCATCCCTTCATCTCGTCGCTCTGTTCCTGCTGACATGCCTCTCGGTCTCACGAGTAGACTGCGTTCCCCTCGCCGACTCCCAAAGGTGAGCGACACCTTTCACCACCCATCCGCCAGAGAGTCATTCGGTGGTAGCACAGAAATACCGCGTCTCAAAAATCGCTGGCCCGAAATGTTACCTCGAGCTAACCCTAAAGTTGGCGCGAGGTAACCCATGCGCGCTGGCATCGGGATATTCCAACTTGTAACATAAAGTTTATGTAGGTAGCCCCGAGGTAACCTGCGTTGGGGGTGAGTTGGGGCCACCTATGATTTTTGAGACGCGCTTACTCCCCATCATTCAGGTTTCCAATCCGTTTATGGGCTCTAACAACGTTTGAAAGACAACTTGCGAGCTTGCAATAGGTGAACAAAAGTTTGCAGACATCTTTGTACTGTTGCATCTGAAACAAGTGGCGCGCACGGGGCTGGCCTGGCCAGCCTAGCGACTAGCGGCGCCGTAGCTACTAGCTAGGAGAGATCTAGGAGAGTGACGCCGCGACTCAGAGACGAAGACCAGAGAGTAGATAGGAGAAGGTCCGAGATAGGGATTCAGGACTCTTTAAAAACGAAAGTATGAAGATGATACACAAGATCCCGAGAATGTTGTTTATGGCTAGAAGAAGAGGAGACTCGGAAGTAAACCCGTGTCGCCACTATTTTAGCATCATGGCATAGCACCTCGATGCCATGCCCTGCTGTATTCTAAGGTATGTCGGGGATAGGAGAGTGTTCTCGAGGCTAGCAAGTGCAGAGTTTTGGAGCTACCTAAGAGATACGATTTCTCTCCCCTTCGGTTTCCCATGCACTCTCGCATGACGAATCTCGACTTGTTACGATTTCATTTATGCTGGACCCGAGACAGGTGATAGACTATGTTTGATTGCTGCTCTACTTTGACAAATAATCGTGTTGTCCCTTCACATAACGAGCCAAAAAAATGCAATACGCGCCACCTAAACCATTCACAGAGATGCACTAGTAGGCAAAAACGGGCTATTGATTAGCAGCATACATGTTTTAACTTAGCTCCAAATGCTCACCTCCCAACGTGTTTCCCATGGACACCTTGGACTGCACTTGTTAGAAGTGGACACTTGGATGGGAATGGGTGCGTTGACCAAACATGCCACATTATCTCCATCAATTAGCAAACTGGGCTATCCCTACATGCACATCCTTCCCGGTTGGCAACATAATTTTAGGCTACATGCCCAAAGCAAAACCGAGGCAATGAGAGTTCAGTACATTATGGTCAACACAGTTTTCTGCTGATGATAAATCGACCTCCGCCGATTCACCATTGCGGTGGACCCTACTACGAGCACCACCAACCAATTTTCCGCCAAGTATAGCAAACCAGGGTCTGCCCACTGGACATTAGTAACAGCAGACTGAAAGCCGGGACATCTGCGAACAAGCTCATAAAGTTGTGCCTATGTCACTTTTTGGTCACGTGTCCAGTAACTGCTAAGAAAGTAACATATGCCCACGTGACATTCTTGCAGGTCAGGAGTGGTTTTCCAGTATTCAAGGAATGACTTCTTGACCCATGCCATCCCCCCTTCTCCCACCTCTCTCCCTCCCCATCCCATCCCGTCCCTCCCCTCATTCCTTTCCCCGCAATTCTGTCCAATGAAGCTGCCCCTATTGTTCGTCCCAAATCAAACCCTTTTCAACCATGCCCAGCCCACACTAGTCGCCCGCCCATCTTCTAGCTGGCCGGTGATTACCCACATGGCAGCGCACCTTGGGTACAACGATGCTTGTGCCCTGACATCCTTACACCTCCCAACCCCCGCTCTAGTACCAGGACCCGAATGGGGGCTGCTTTGGTAAACGAGGCTGCCTGAGTTGTACTTGCTCTTTGCGGGAAAAAAAACCCTCTGGCACGGCACCATTCCGCAAACCCGAAGAACTCTCCCCACTTACCGCTGCTGGTAGTAACAGCTGGCAGGGCGCTTCTCGAGAGGAACTGGTATGCCAGCCCACAAAACCGTTTATTTGTGGATTCTCATTGTTTCTCTCCATCCCTCCTGCTCCTACCCCCAGTGCATTTCTTGTGGAGTGCACATATGCGTGGAACGTGATGATTTACGGTTGGGTGGCTGGCGGCACCTGCGAGAATGCAAGCTACATTGCATGTGATGCCACTGGCATGATAACGAGCATGTGAGTGACCCCTTGAGCATGCTTGCCTACGGCTTCTCCGCCCCTGAGATTCGCCTCCCATCCTTCGTTGCCACTTTGACCCTCCTTCTGTATGTCATCCTTTCCTCACTCTTGAACAACATACCACGTGGCTTTATCGAAGGACCCCCAGCTCCAAATGCCAGGAAACTCCCAAACGTCCGATAGGAATCCTCTTCCATCACCCCTGATTTCCTCCATTCTTCTCTTCGAATCGCACTCCAACATCCCTTCCTCTCATGGCCCACACTTAGCAAAATAATGCTGATAGGCAAATTTCCAACGTGAGAAACCTGACACGCATGTCAGAACGTGCGTTGAGAGCACTTGTGATTGCTTCTCACACTAGTGAGTGCTTCTCACTTCTGGATTGGTTCGCTTCACCAACGGACCATCAGACTCCATTGCATCACATTAGGAAGAGAGATAGAAAGGGTAGTTTACTGACCCCCAAATAACTCAGCGGTTGTAGAGACACGGACTATGACGTCGAGGTCTTGGAATGGTCGGCCTCATCGCCTGAATGAGCAAGGGTCAAAGCACAGCACAAGCAAGCGAGAAAGCACTGAATGGTGGTGACTGAGGACAAAACGGCGCCGACCTTGACGTGCTCAGAAACATAATTTGATCGCTTTCTTAAGTCTTTATTTGATTCTCTTGCAATCAGTGATTCCATTACTTCGTGTTCATTTGATTACAAACATTAGTTGATGCTATTCTCACCCGTATTCTTCCCTTGAATGTCAGAGACTTAACAAAGCACAGCTTTCATGGGTCTATTCCATCAACCATTAGCTACTTGAGCAAGTTGACATATTTGTGAGTACCCTCCTCCAGCACAAACATGTGATTGAAAAAGAGTGTTTGAAGAAAGCAAGAAAGGCAAATATGTCGACACGGACAGGCAGTGTGCGTCACATTATGTCGAACCACATTCAAACGGTAAGTTTGGTGATGTCATATGAGATGAAACAAGCCAGGGGATCTCATCTGTGTGCGTTATCATGCCATTCTTGCAAAGGAAAGAAAAAAAATGCAAAACAGTAAACATGAAGTGATTTTTTACGCTTGTGACCTCCAACATTAGGCAAAGGCCATGGCAAATGCCAGGATATATGGAAAATAAGCGGTTCAAGGGTGGCTTGGGAACGCTACCAATCGCTTCTCACCAGCATTGCAGAATTACGGTTAGAGTGTCAGATTTTGCAACATACGTTACTGTGTGAATAATTCTTCGTCATCCACCATCAGTATTTTTCCACTTTCGAAATCTCTCCCTGCGTGTGGGCTCCACCTATTGGCCCGTTAGAAATCTGGGCTGGAACAACTTATCTGGATACATTCCACCAGCCATTGGCAGCTTGAGCAGTCTCACACAACTGTAAGTATCCGTTATTGACACACTTAGATTTGGGCAGCTAGGAACCCCACTGCTGGCATCACACCCGTGTGCAACTACTAATTGTTCCCTTTAGCTAAACAGCTGTATACTTGTTGAAACATCATAATATGGGTGGCGTTGCCTTTTATTTTTTCCATCATAAACTATCAACTCATTCCCCTTGCATTTGCCATCTCGTGCCCCATTAGGAGGCCAGGTTGCAGCAAGTGCACGACTCACAATCACACACCATCGCTATTCTCCTCTCCTTATCTCCTTCATTGTTTCTCTATCCATGGATTCGGCCTTGTGCATAACAGAAGAATAGAAGGGAACAGTTTTGCTGGATCCATTCCACCAGAGATTGGCAGCTTGAGCAACCTCGCACAGCTGTCAGTATTACCCATTGACACACTTGCCTTTTCTCTCATACTTGCTACTTTGTGATTTGACTTTTCCCTCTGATACTTGTTCATCTCTGCTCAGTGTTTTTGCATGCTTGTTGTTCTGAGTTCAGTCGACTACAAGTCCTAGTCGTAATTAAAACAACCAACTCACATTTCCCGATGTTGGTCAATGCATTTGCATATGCAGCCATAGAGATGGAGTCGCATGTCCGCCAGACTACAACAGTTGTGTGGTCACACAGAACAGTTCAAGCGCCTTCTGTACAGAATGCACCTCATTCTGCAACACCTGTGGCAAATGTGGGTTTTACCATGGAATTCCCCATAGTTCCTGCCCGTACTACTGAATCTGTCTGCAAACAAATGGAGAACTTTATGTGCTGCTTATAAAACGTGATTGATGAATTTTGGTGCCAATTCCTGGCCTAGCATGCTTGTTGAACCTACCATTTCACCATATCCATATATCTGCTATCCATTCCCCCCCTCATCCCAGTGTCTGTGGGAGCCATTGCGGGTATAGTTGCTGGTGCTGCGGTTTTCTTGGTGCTGCTGGTGGTAAGCTTTCTGCTTTGGAGGAGACGTTACGTTCAAGGGGCAACAAAAAGAGCAGCAACAATCGAGAAGGGGCAAAAGAAAGTCGTGCAAGCCAGAAGTCTCAAAGGTGAACTCTCTTCTCACTCTAAATTAGGCCACAGATTCCTACATCACAAGGTACACAACACTTGCTTGTGACGGACTGTACACACAGACCACATTTCCTTACCGTTAGATGGCAGTACCAAAGGAACAGGCCCATCGGACGGACAGCCATTGATAACATTAAGACACTTCAAAATTGGACTGAAACGTGATCATGTCGGTCTTCTTGGGCGCGTCTGCTAGGGAGTACACCAAATCTTCAGAGTACACCACCAGGTGAGCCGCAGCTCGTTGTTTTGACTTAACCGTGTGCTATGCTGACCCTTCTTAATCTCAGTGAGACCAATTGTAACACGCATGACTCAGAATGCGCTGGTTAGCTTGCTCAGAGATTTGCGGGTTGCCTGGTCTGTGCTCAAGCGGATGGCGTCTCCTTCGTGTGTTGGTGACGAGCGCTGCTGCTGCTGCTGCTGCTGCTGCTGCTGCTGCTGCTGCTCACATTCAATGCAGTTGGTGCGAGTCTGCTCATTATTGCTTTGTTCCATTCCCTTTTGTTGGTGGACCAGTGGTTGCCAGGGGAATATTAGGAACGTCAATGCTTATGCTCTCCTGTGTTAGGGTTGGTTCGCCCAACCACGGAACCTATGGCGAAAGTCTCTACGACGGCGGAATGACGGCGAAATGGAAGCACGTGGATGATTCTAGGTGAAACGGTGGAATTCGGCCTACGGTGGATATTGGAAGCTACGGCGTGAGAAACGGGAGAGAGATCGGGAAGATACTAGAGAAATGGAGGAGAAGAGTAGAGAAGTATCGAGAATGAGATCGACGGGGGAAATTGTGGTTCGAGCTCGAGGCGTGTTCGAGAAGGTTCGAGATTCGGACTCAAGGAGTGTTCGGTGAATTCGGTTCGGTTGTGTGTGCGACTCGGGGTGAAACGAGGCGCGCGCGAGATTGCTTGAGAAACAAGTTACGTTACGAAACACGTTTTGTGTCTTGCTTGACTATAAATCTGCTTGTACTCATTCTGGAAATCACAACATTGGACAACATTGAGATTCTGAATTTGCTCAAGTGTGTATTGACAACTTCAAGCAGAGCTGCGCATATCGTTGGATTTGGGAGATCGTGGAGAACACGATAAGCAATAGCAAGTAGACTATTGCCGACTAAGGTGTTTACGATCCTAAGAACTGGTATCAGAGCTTGGCGAACGGTCGCTTCGATCGTCGTGAATTCACTTGGTGCGCTAAGTGAAATTAGTGGAGAAGAGGAGTCGTTCACGCCTACGCCATGGGAGACGAGGCGAGTTCGGGTTCCAGTGTGAGTCTTGGAGACCCGCAGTTGAAGGCTCTTCTCGAGGCCCTTGCGAGTGGCCGTTTGGTGGCGAAACCGACGATCGGGCTCAGTGAAGCCCAGCGCTTCAACGGGAGCAACTACAATGTGTGGCGAAAGAAGTTCATTCGGAGGGCAGAGGAGGTGGACCTCTTGCCGTACTACAGTCCCGACGAGGAGACGAAGGAGGGAGTTGCGCCTTCCACGACGGATACGAAGGAGAAAATAGCGGCGTTCAAAAAGCAAAGTAAGCAAGCGTTCTTTCAGCTTTGTCACTCAGTTGCCGATGGAATCGCGGTGGATTTGGACCAGTTTGCAGAGGAGCTGAACTCTGCACAGAAAGCGTGGGAGTACCTGGAGTCCACGTACATGGGTACGAACGATGTCAACAAGAAGGCGATTCGGAAGCAACTGCTGATGCTGAGCATGGAGAAAGGCGAGAAAATCATCACCTACATCAACAGGGCGAAAAGCTACAACGACGATTTGCGGGTGATGGGAGCCGCGGAGACGGAGCATGAGATGATTGACCACATCATCCAAGGCCTTCCTAAAGAGTGGGAATCCGACATCGGTATGTTTACGTACCAACCGCCGGAGAGTTTGACGAAGCTGCAGGAGATTCTGCAATCGCTTGAGACGGTGAAGGAGATGAGGAAAAAGAAAGCGGCAGCAGCAGCTACGGAATTCGACGAGGAGAGGCCGACTTTGGTGAATGCCACGAAGGCGTTTGGAGCGTGCTACCAGTGTGGAAAGAGGGGGCATAAGGCGATAAACTGCTACGAAAATCCGCGAAGCAGTAACTACAAGGGCAAAGCGGTGGAGAACGATAAAGGAGAAAATGGGGGAGCGGAGTGGCAGCAGAAACGAGGTTTTGGCGGCAAGTGCGACTATTGTGGGCGCTATGGACATCGTGCTGTAGAGTGCTACTCCAATCCGAACAGCAGGAGCTACAAGGGTCCGTCGCAGCAGAGGATTGTGGCGGGTAAGGCGAATGTAGCGGAAGCCGAAAAGGAGGATGTGATTTTGGGAGGAGCGCATCTTGCGAACGTGGTGCGTTTACCGAAGGATGTTCGTCAGACGGACGGACGTAAGAAGACGGCATGGTTCATGGACAGCGGATGCACGCGTCACATGATATTCAGGTCAGATTGGATGGAGAATGTGAGGGAGTCGAGTGAGCGTTATATACTGCAAGGTAACAGTGGGAAGTTACCAGTGACAGGAGAGGGTGACGTGGTGCTGCAGAGTCCGTATGGAGAGGTGAAACTGGAGAGTGTGCTGCTGGTTGAGGATTTAAAGGTGAATCTGGTCAGTCAGTCACAGCTTGATGACTTGGGGTGCAAGATATGTTATGACAGTGGCGAGGTGACTGTGTTTGGTCCTGAGTGGGAGAAGTATGCCGATGGATTCTTCAGTGACGGATTCTATGAGATGAACTTGGTCGCGATGAACGATAAGGATGAGATCTATGAGGATCCTGGGTCTACTAAGGTTGATGAGAGCGAGGACACGGATGATACGGGAGCGAGTGTGGAGGCAGCAGTGAAGCAGGAAGAAGAGATAGTCACCATGGAGGCAGCAGCGGTGAATGATGGAGATGGAGATGGTGTCAACACTTTTGCAGCAGCGGTCGTGGTTAAAGATGAAGCAGTAAATGCGAAGTGTGTGGGAGTCGCTGTGAATGGGGACATCATGGTGAAGGGATCAAAGGCGAATGCAACTGCAAAGGCTAGAGTGCTTACGAAAGAGGAACGCGTTGAGGGGTACGAGACCCGAGAGGTGTTGGGTGTTGAGATGCCGAGGAGAAGCGAGAGGCTCAAGAAAACCTCTCAAGGTTTGGATATCAAGGCGCTCAACTTCAAGACACGTAAGCAAAGGTTCAAGGTGCAGGAGCTGCAGGGGAGCGTGAAGCCGACTTAGACCCTGTGAAGGCTACGAGGAGCAGGGGAGCAGTGCGAGTGGTGTTCGTGGTTGACGAACAACAGGGGAGATTGTTAGGGTTGGTTCGCCCAACCACGGAACCTATGGCGAAAGTCTCTACGACGGCGGAATGACGGCGAAATGGAAGCACGTGGATGATTCTAGGTTAAACGGTGGAATTCGGCCTACGGTGGATATTGGAAGCTACGGCGTGAGAAACGGGAGAGAGATCGGGAAGATACTAGAGAAATGGAGGAGAAGAGTAGAGAAGTATCGAGAATGAGATCGACGGGGGAAATTGTGGTTCGAGCTCGAGGCGTGTTCGAGAAGGTTCGAGATTCGGACTCAAGGAGTGTTCGGTGAATTCGGTTCGGTTGTGTGTGCGACTCGGGGTGAAACGAGGCGCGCGCGAGATTGCTTGAGAAACAAGTTACGTTACGAAACGCGTTTTGTGTCTTGCTTGACTATAAATCTGCTTGTACTCATTCTGGAAATCACAACATTGGACAACATTGAGATTCTGAATTTGCTCAAGTGTGTATTGACAACTTCAAGCAGAGCTGCGCATATCGTTGGATTTGGGATATCGTGGAGAACACGATAAGCAATAGCAAGTAGACTATTGCCGACTAAGGTGTTTACGATCCTAAGATCCTGAGAGTCTAGTTCCTTGTTGTTTGTCTTCATGTCTTGAGTTTGTTGCCTTTTCACCTCTGCGGCTGAAGGTTGTCAGCACCAGCTCGAAGTGAAGAAAATGAAGAGAAATCTAATTAACAATAAACAAGCCTGTAGTTGATACTGTTTTATCTCGCCCTGCCTCAGCTCTCTCTACTCCTTCCCTCCCGAACCCATTCTCCAGATTCTCAATTTCTCAAGTTTTCATTATTTCCACTCAAATAAGTATAATCATACGTGCAAGCACTCTCTTCCCACCATTCACATCCCTGCATATGCAGAGTCACATAGGAAGAAAGAGGGTCCAGAATTTGCCACGCCAGCAGCAGCAGCAAGGGTGATGCAAAAGAAGAGTACGTTTATGTCCCTAGGTGAATTATCCCAACTAAGTCCACCCTTTCTCAATCACGCAGAAAATTGCTGGTTTCTCCAACCCCCCTTGCTCCGTGTATTCTATTCGAAACCTTCCATGATTCCAGGTACAATTCGTGTGCTTGATAAAGCAAAGTACTCTCTTCTTACCACTCACGTCTTTGAACATGCAGAGTCACATAGGACAGGAGAATATCCAGAAGCAGCAATGGGAGCCGCAGCAGGAGCAGCACCAGCAGCAAGTGAGGGCCAAAAAAGAAGTAGGTGTTCCAATTCTTTTGAACCTTAACTGTTTTACCTTGCTCTGCTCTGCTCACACTTTAGCTGATTCACCGTTTTATCCATCTCCCCCAGTTATCATTTTCAGTTATTCTAGGTCAAATCGGAATGCTCAGTTGAGATGAATACCCTCTTCCCACTGCTCAAAACCCACAACACGCAGGGGAAAATGATCCAGAAGCAATAGCAGCAGCCATAGCAGCAGCAGCAGGAGTAGCAGCAAAATCAGGATCAGCAGGGGTGGTGGATGGAGGTGTGGTGGTGGAGATGGATGCAGCACGGCCACAGGTGTGCCAAGAGTACTCCCTGGAGGTGCTGGCAAAGGCAACAGCGGAGTGGGCGGAGAGGAACAGGATTGGCAGCGGCAGCTTTGGTGATGTGTATAAGGGCGTGTCTCCCCACAACTGCACTCAAATGTGGGCCGTCAAACGAGCCAGAGTGCTCACCAATGACTTCCTCACAGAGGTATAATTGAGGCAGGTCTCTGAGATCGTGCAACTGTTGTTGTTCATGTTTTCGTAAGGGTTTTGTTCCATGTTTTCAACAAATTCTTTCTGTCGAACTCTACGCCTGCATACTGTTTGTCTCGAATGAGCTTTTCTGTCACTCCAAACCTAGTGAAAAACCAGGGGCTGGTACACCACTGTGCACCATGACTCGGGATTCTGATAATCTGAAAGCCATTTTGCCTGTTATGCTTTGAATTTTTTTACGATGTTCGTGTTGTGCCTTCCCTCCTGCAGGTGAAGGAGATGGCCAGCAAGCACCATCCCCATCTTGTGCGGCTGCTTGGATACTGTATGGATATGAACACGACCACAAGGCACATAGAGCAGATCCTGGTCTATGAGTACATGGTGAACAACGATCTCGAGAGCTGGATCGGACCGGGTGTCTCCCATCCTCTTTCCCTGCGCCAACGACTGGACGTGCTGACTGGAGTGGCAAAAGGGCTGCAGTACCTTCATGACTTTGGCATCGTGCATCGTGACATCAAGCCCGCCAACATCCTCCTCGATGCAAAGATGCAGGTGTGTTCGAAGATACATTATAACTTCACATGTTTGCCAATTTCGAAATGTTCCACCTTCGTGGTCATGCCTTTTTTGTGTTTGTTTTTGCTTTTTGCCGTGAAACCTCTTATCCAATGGACTTCATTGTTCCTTTGGTTCTAATCGGCAGGCCAAGATTGCGGACTTTGGTCTTGTGAAGCCGAGTGGAGGCACCTGCATGGGCACCTCAGTGGCTGCTACTCGAGTGATGGGCACACCGGGCTATGTGGACCCAGCCTACTTCAAGACACAAAAGGCCACTCCAGCTGCAGATGTGCACAGGTGAGATGATTGGCACGGAGCATAGCAGTTGTGTACAAGCTGTGCATGCACGGGAGAAGAACTACTGACACGTAGCAAAATGAGAACAAATAAGCAACAAGAAAATAAAATCTTGTACTTGTTATTGTTTTCTGTCATGGGCAGCTTTGGAGTGGTGATGTTGGTGGTCATCTCAGCACGCAAGGCCGTTTATTTGTCAGAGGACAGGCAAATCAACCTCAAGCAATGGGTGAGTCACAAACATGTGAATCAACAGCTCCCATATCGTACAAGTGGTTACAGTACTTCAGCATTTGTCAAACCTTAAGTTGTAGCACCACTTTGCAACAGCCAGACAAGCCATAGCACCACAGAATCACATCGCTGTGGTCTTTGTCCCCAAGCAGGTGGCGCCATTGGTGGCATCCAGCAACGTGGCAGCGTTCAAGGACCCTCACTTGAATGCTCCAGACGACTTTGTGCTGCGCATGGCCCGCCTTGCACTCGCCTGCACTGCCATGCCCACTGCCTCCCGCCCCTCCATGGCGCGAGTATTGGGGGATCTGCTGGCCATGAAGGACGAGATCTTGGGGGCTGAAGAACACAGAGCTGCATGCCGAATCGACAGAGAGATCGGCAACTCAGCTGACCCGGTGGACTTTGATGCCGAAATGGCTCGTGTGGAACACATGGATGTGCAGGATGGTTACTCTAGTGTGTAATGTGCTCTTTAAATTGCTCCATGGTGTTATCGAGACCTACTATACGCTGAGTCACTTTTTGGCTGCTATCGTTATTCGTAGAACTTGACGTCTTGGGGTGCTTTGACAATGAAAAGGGCTGTGCAATTCCGTTGCTTACCAGCACTCGGTGTTTTTCTCTATCAGGATTACTCGTCTGGTTACCGACACAGGGAAGTGGGAGATGCGAGGTACATACTGATGGGAGGTGAGGTGCGGATGGGAGGTGGAGATGGGTAACGTGTGGGAGGGGACATGGGGAGGGGAGTGTGAGTGCAGCTGCGGACCCTGGCGCAGCTCTTTGCCCTTGCCAGCTCCATTCCCATGTTCTGCACTTACGACTGCAACATCCCTCACTGCGGGCAGGTAGTAAGGGGAGGTCTGCGGAAGGCCTCATGAGGCTCGCTGCTTCTACCGTCTTGACGACGCCATTTGAGCGGAGTTTGGTGAGAGCGCACTGACTCCTGACTGGTTATGATTGCTCAAGAAGGACATAGATGTATTTGCTCTTGATTGGGACCAGATCTATGCTGGCATGTTTGCTATGTATTTTGCTGGTGCTAGTGCTGAGGGTGACTACTATTCTTGTGTACCTAGCTCTGTTAGTGTAGAGGCTGCTAGTCTCAGGGCGTGTGAGTCTGCTAGCACAGGTGCAGTTCCTGCGGAGGCTTTGCACACCTTCCCGTTGGACTCGGACGCGTCTCGCTGCTTCTTCCGCGACTGCACAAGAGTCACACTGCTCACAGAACCTGTCCCTGTCACTCTGGCCGACCCCTCTTCTGGCCCAGTCGTTGCACGTAGTCCCACTGTTCTCCCGTGTCCGGCAGCCCCCTCCGGCTCCCTCACAGGTCTCCACCTCCCCTCGTTTGCTACGAACTTGGTGAGTCAGGCTGTCCTCCAAGATGAGTTGGTCACTACCACTACTCCTGGGGGTGAGCTAGTGGCGATCTGTACGGACTCAGTGACTGGCAACCACCTCGCCACGTTCACTCGGAGGCCTGGGTCTGGCCTGTACAGACTGCACACTTAGTCTGCACAAGTGGCTGCGTCCGGTCAGGTAGATGCGTCTTGTTCGTGTCGGTTATTCACGCACACGTCTCTCCTCTGGCACCACCGTCTTGGTCACCCCTCCCTGCAGCGTCTGCGTCGCATGCACTTGCGTCTCCTTGTCTCTGGCCTCCCGAGGTCCTTGCCCCCGCTACCTCCGTCGCTTGCGCCTCCGTGCACTCCCTGCGTCGAGGGGCGGCAGTGCGCCGCTCCTCACTCCTCCTCGTTCCCTCCGATCACTGCTCATCTGCATACCCTACGCATGGACGTGTGGGGCCCCTCCCCAGTGTCTGGGCCAGGCCGGGAGCGCTACTTCCTGCTGGTCGTCGACGAATACACGCGCTACACCACTCTGTTTCCCTTGCAGCACAAGGGAGACGTCCGTGTTGTTTTGATCCTTTGGATCCGCGGTGTTCGCCGCAAGTTGAGCGCACGGTTCCGTCAGGACCTCCCGATGCTCCGTCTGCACTCTGGCCGTGGGGGTGAGTTTTCCTTCGGTCTCCTTGAGGACTTTTGTCGTGAGGAGGGCATCACCTAGTCGTTCACTCTTCCGGCTTCTCCACAACATAATGTAATCGCTGAGCGCCGCATTGGCTTGATCATGAAGGTTGCTCGCACCTCCATGATCCATGCGGTTGCTCCCCATTTCGGTGGTCGTTTGCGGTCCGATACGACGCGCATCAGCTCAACCTCTGGCCCCGTGTCTCCGAGCCAGACCTCTCCTACACTGTGTTGGACAGGGGAGGTTGGCGATGTGTCGGCGTTTGGGGTCTGGGGTGAGCTTCCCCTTGTCCGCGATACTACCGCGGGCAAGCTCTCTCCTCGCACTATTTGCTGCGCCTTCGTTGGCTTTCCCACCGACGCCCCGCCTTGGCAGTTTTACCACCCCGCCACGCGCCGCGTCCTGTCCTCCCGCGATGTCACCTTTGACGAGTCGGTTTGCTACTACCGTCTCTCCGCCCACGCGTCTTCTCATGTCCCCCCGCCACCCCTCTTCCTGGTTCCAGGTTACACCCTGGTAGACCCGCGCACCCCCCCCTCGCGTCTTGCTCCCTTAGGTGTGTCTCAGGTCTCACCTCCCCCCTTGATTGCGCCTTTGGAGGTCTCCTCAGACCCCACAGGTCCGGCTGAGGGGGGTGATCCTGCTGCTGACGACACTGCGGCCTCTCGCCGCTCCCCACTCTTGGAGACCCCTCCTAGTTTTCCGCCTCGGCCGCCTTCGCCGCCTCTGCAGCCTGTCGCTGTGGACTCCGGTGCTGCTGGGGATGGTGACGCTGGAGGTGCGGGCACTAGGGGTGCTGGGTCTGGGGGTGCTGACGCTGGAGGTGCTGGTTCTGGGGGTGCTGGTTTTGGGGGTGCTGACTCTTGTGCTGTCGGCGCTGGAGCTGGAGGTTCTGGAGCTAGTGGTGATGGAGCTGGAGGTGCTGGAGGTTCTGGTGCTGGAGGTGCTGGAGCTCGCGGTGTTGGAGCTGGCGGTGCTGGAGGTGCTGCCGCTAGAGGTACTGGAGGTTATGGAGCTGGAGGTGCTGGAGTTGGCGGTGCTGGAGGTGCTGCCGCTGGAGGCACTGGAGATTCTGGTGGTGGAGGTTCTGGTGCTGGAGGTACTGGAGCTAGGGGTACTGCGCAGCCATGGCAGCAGCGATCGTTCTTCCGGAACCAGCCGCAGTCGTCACTAACACCACCTGGCTCGGCCCTTCACCAGGTTCTTCGTCTTCCGTCTACCTCTATAGAGCCGCCTACCGCTGGTACTGCTCCTCTTTTATTGACTCCAACGCCTGACCAGTCTCAAACACAGTTACCGCCTGACTCCCCACTGCCTGTTCCTTCTCGTTACACTGAGAAGACAGACTCACTGACTGAGCATCGGGAGTCTGCGTCCCGTCCTGCTTCCCCTGTTGCTTGTCGTGCTCGCCGTGTTCACCCTCCGCCTGTTCCCAGTGAGCGCACTATGGCGCTTCATCCTCTGTTGCACATCGTCATATCCTGCTGTCTCCTCCAGTGTCCTCTCTTCCTGACGTTCCTAACCCTGCGTCTGACCTTGCTCGTGCTGCTAGTCTTACTGTCACTTACTGTCTGGCCACACTTGTCACTGACCCTACCTTTGAGTCGGCTGCTGCGTCTGCCTTAGTCACTGAGCTCATTGACTGTGCTGCTGCCTGCCGCCTTGACTACCTTGCGAGTCTTGTTTCTGAGTTCTCCGCCAGGCGCCCCGCAAGTGGCATGGCACACTGAGGACGACACATGCGGCTCTTGGTTTTATTCCTTCGACTGCTGACCCGTCAGTGTTTCTGCGCACCGACCCTTCGCTGCCGCCGTTCTACATCCTCGTATACGTTGACGACTTGGTCTTTGCTACTGCTGACACTAAGGCGCTGGCCCGAGTTGGAGCGAGAGGAGAGAGAGTTGGAGCGGCAGCAGCTGGAGCTACAGCCGCTGGAGGAGCCGCAGCAGCAGTAGCAGCCGGAGCAGCAGCAGCAGCCGGAGCAGCAGCAGCAGCAGCAGCAGCAGCAGCAGCAGCAGCAGCAGCAGCAGCAGCAGCCGGAGCAGGAGCAGCCGCAGCAGCAGCCGCAGCAGCAGGAGCAGCAGCAGCCGCCACCTCCTCCTCCTGTCTCTGGTCTTCGGACCCTCGGTCTCCCCTCTCCCTCTCCTCCCTCCTCTCCCTCTCCTCCCCCCTCTCCCTCTCCTCCTGTCTACGGTCCCACGTTTCCTCCTCCTGACCCCACTCCAGCTGCTTTCCCTCGTTCTCAGCCTTCGGTGTCCCCTCCTATTTCTCACGCTTGGACTTCTCGCTCTCTTCGTGCTCGTCCCTCGTCCCCTGTCCCTCTCTCAGACCTTCTTACTGCCCTGTTTCGTTCTAGTCCGCCTCGTTCGTCTCCTTCTGTACTTCCTTCTCCTCCTGAGTCGGCTCTCACTGCTTCCCTCTCTACTCCTATCACGGACTACTACCGCACCTACCGTCCTGTTCTCTCTCGTGTTCTCGCCTCTCTTGTTACCGAACCATGTGCTTCTCTTTCCTCTGTCTCCGCTCTTACTGCCGCAGTCACTGAGTTTGCCTCTACTCGCCGCCTTGACTACGCCACCAGTCTTGTGGCTGCTCCTCCTACCAGTCCTCTAGCCGTCGGGGGTGAGTCTGCCCTTGGCTGTGACGCCCTAGAGGACAAGCAATTTGAGTTAGAGTTCCTGGCAGCCACTTCCCCTCATCTCTGTGCCATGTTGCTCGCCCCTGAGGGAGACCCCGGCACCCTTGACATACCGACTCCTCGCACTTACGCTGAGGCAGTGTCAGGGCCTTGGGCCTCTCAGTGGAGAGCTGCCATGGACTCAGAGATGGCCTCCTACAGATCCACAGGCACTTACGTCGACGAGGTTCCCCCCCCTGGGGCGAGTCGATGGCATGTGGATCTTCAGGGTGAAGCGGCCACCGGGATCTCCTCCGGTCTTCAAGGCGCGCTATGTGGCTAGAGGTTTCAGTCAGCGCGAGGGAGTTGACTTCTTTCAAACCTTCGCGCCTACCCCGAAGATGGCCACTCTTCGGGTGTTACTGCACGTAGCAGCACAAAGAGACTACGAGTTACACTCTCTCGACTTCTCCACTACTTTCCTTCAGGGTAGCCTATACGAGGAGGTTTGGCTGCGTCGTCCCTCTGCCTTCAACGGCACTTTCCCTCCTGGGAACCAATGGAGGCTGAGGCGACCGGTCTACGGCCTCCGTCAGGCTCCTCGTGAGTGGCACGACACCCTTCGTTCTACCCTGTCTGACCTCGGTTTCCAGCCGTCTTCTACCGACCCGTCGCTGTTTGTTCGGCGTGGCTCCACACCGTTCTTTGTACTGGTCTACGTCGACGACCTGATTTTCGCCACTGCTGACAGGGTTGCTTTGGCTGACGTGAAGCGCGAACTGCAGAAGAGACACACGTGCACTGACCTTGGTGAGCTGCGCCACTACCTTGGCCTGCAGATCACCAGGGACAGAGCCGCTCGCACCATTACACTCTCACAGTCACACATGGTGCAGCAGGTCCTTCAGCGGTTCAAGCTTCAGCACTCCACAGTACAGCGTACACCTCTTGCTGTTGACCACAGACTCACTGGACCCTTCTCTGACGAGCCGTTTGAGCCTAGTGGTCCTTACGCAGAGCTTGTGGGCTGCCTCATGTACCTGATGACTTGTACTCGCCCGGACCTCGCCTTCCCTCTCAGCATCCTGGCTCGCTTTGTTGCACCAGGGAGACACCGTCCAGTTCACTGGACAGCTGCTGTGAGGGTGGCGAAGTACCTAGCGACGACATCAGGCTTGGGGCTGGTTCTTGGAGGGCAGCAGTCTGTTGTACTTACTGGACACTGTGACTCTTCTTACGCTAACGACGCCGAGACTCACAGGTCTACTCAGGGGTACTGTTTCAGCCTGGGCTCTGGAGCTGTTTCGTGGAGGTCCACGCGTTCCTCCTCGGTCTCGACCTCTACCGCTGAGGCTGAGATCTACGCTGCAGCCATGGCTGCACAGGAGCTGCGTTGGTTGACCTTCTTGCTCACCGACCTTGGTGAGCAGCCGAGCTCTGCACCGACCTTGTTCACTTACAACAAGGCGTCGATTCTCCTCTATCGAGAGCCGCGACTGGAGAGCAGAGTGAAGCACATCAACGGCATGTACTTTCTTCTGCGAGAGTTGCAGAGGCGTGGACAGGCTCGCTTCGACTTTGTGGAGTCCGAGGCCAACACTGCAGACATCTTCACCAAGGCGCTTCCGCCTTGTTACCACCAGAGGTGTTGTGTGCAGTTAGGTCTCGTTGACACAGGTTCTCGCCTTACGTTGTCTTGAGTTCTCTGCTTGCCTTGTTTGTACGCTTTATATATACCTCTGTGAACTCTTGAACTAGCCTTGTGGCTTTTTTGCTTGTGCTCGGAGTGTGTGGTGACGTTGTGATCCACCCTGAGCTTTGTTTCATTGTGACTGGTCTTGTGACCGTACACTTTTGGTTTTGCTTGACACCCTTCACGTAGACTATGGGGGTGTGTCAGATGTGGTAGTCTTAATGAGGTGTGTTATAGGGGGTACAACTGTTAGGGTTAGGTTTATGTACCCCAATCAACCTTAGTCAAACCTACACTTTCATTCTTGACACATATGGGGTACAACCCTTTTAGGGTTAGTACTTGTATCTCTCTTATTTCATACTGCATCATTCCCACCACTTGTTTTCGACAATGCATATACAGACATGCGCAACATTTTTTTTTTTTTTTTTTTTTTTTTTTTACCTTATGCCATGCTCAGCACCACGTACAACGTACATCACTGTGTAACAGTCAGTGGCCGTTATTTGTCCATTAGCACTTGCCGGACTTCGCCCACACATCACCATGCATAGCATAGCATCAGGCCCTACGTTATCAGGAATTTTTCCCTGAAATTCCTGATTTTCAGGGTTTTTTTTTGTACCTATCCTGATTTTCCAGTGTTCAGTTTTTTTAGGGCCTGATTTTCCAGCGTTTAGGTGCCTTATGACTCTGATCTTTCAGGGTTTTTTTCCAAGGGACACTGATCACTTTACGTTGTAACGAATCCGACCCTGAATGCGGTTCCTACACGTGCCGAGTGTAGGTGCCCTGCAGAAGTACAGGGAATATCAGATTCCCGCGCTGCCTCGAAAAAAAATCGTCTGGGACACACCACCTGCACCACCTGGCGGCGAGAACGAGACAAATTTCCCCAGAGTTTTACACCTGGTGGGCTGTTGAATTTGGCGCGCGTGGAACGATCGTTGCCCAGTTTCGCATCATTGCGTGGGTTGACCAATCACAGGGTTGCAGCATAACAATGCTGGCAGTGTGCGGTGCGAGGGTATCTTGCACCTGTTGTCGTGTGGCACGTTTTGTCCAGGTCGTGCTGGCAACCACAATTGCATCCATGCCGCCCAGCCGTGTACCCTGCCATCAGGCTTCCATCACATTCTGCTCCATCCTTTCCTTCCATCCGCTTGGGGTTTCTTTCTTGCCGTTCCTGCTTGGTGTAGGAAGAGACAGTCAGCCGTGTGGTTTTACCACGCGCTGCTCTTTCTAGTTAGATGCAAGCTAGTACCGCTGCTAGCTATGGCGGACCCCCAGGACAACATGTTACCTACAGGCGACCTAGGCGATGATGCGCATCATCGTTCAGTAGACGACGTTTCCGCTGCAGTTACCGGGCTGGATCTCCTTTTTACCAGCCTCGCCCAAATCGATAACCATGGAAAGGCACCTCTGGCCGCGCCTCCCGAATTTTATCCATTCGAACCCGTAGATGAGGGGTTGTGTGCCTCCCCTACAGCTCCAGTCTTAGAACAAGACAGCTCGTCGCCATCTGTTGAGGAAATTGCGGCGGTACCTGTGGCTAAGAAAAACGCGAAGTACACCCAGTCTACGCTGCCATGGTGCAAGAAGGGAGCTCCCGCTGGAGCTACACCGCCGTCACCAGCCGACCAACAGTCGACGCCCGCGACCGCAGCCACGCAGGTGTCGCCATCAGTTCCTGGGCCATCTAAACCGGCATGCCCTAACGCGATCTACGCCGAGGCGCTGTTTAAGTATAAGTCTGAGTGGCTAGACCGTTTCAGTTGGCTGATTTTGCTCAAATCTGCTGACGGCCTACCTGCTTTCAAGTGCAGCATCTGTACAGAGCACGCAGGGTACGCTGGACCGTGCGGGAGAGGCGGAAAGGGCGCCACGGACGTGCAGACGCAGGCGTTCAAATGACATGCTGCAACATCCAAGCACAAGGAGGCGTTCAAGCACCAGGAGAAGCTGCTCTTGGAAGCTGGCAGGCAACCACGTATCAACGCCGACAATATGGCGCGTGACACGGAGAAAGAACGTGTCATCAAGCTGCTGGGCTCCTTTCTCTTTGTCACCAAGCAAGATGCACCCATTGAGTTATGGGTGAATCTTGTTCAGTACCTCGCCAAGCTAAACGTGCCAGGATTTCCCGCGAAGGGCTACGGGACGTACTACACGACGTGAGTGTTCCTGTCCTCGCTATTATACCGTTGGTTTTTTTAAGGACATTAATACTCACAACTTATGTTGTTTGCCATGCGCTGCAGGTACGGCTTCGGGTAGCTAACACAGTCGATGGCCACCTGGCTGCACACAACGCAGCTGCAGCACATCTTGTCAAGCCCATTCCTCGGCGTCACTTGTGACGAGAGCACGGATAGGTGTCGTGGCAAGCATATGATTATCTTTGCTACGTTCATCCGTGACCACCGGGTGGAGACTGAGTTCCTAGCGCTGCTGACAGTGGAGAAGGGTGATGCCGCCTCTCTCCTCTCAGTGTTTCTGTCCCACCTGCAGGCCCTCGGCATTGACCTTGCGCGGATCGCCGGCATAAGCACTGACGGAGCCAGTGTGATGATGGGTAAGAAGAACGGCGTTGTCGCTCGACTTCGCCTCCGCATCCCGCATCTTGTGTCAAGCCACTGCATCGCCCACAGGTACGTTGTGCCATGTGATTCCCTGTTTCTGTTTTTTTTTTTACCTTCCATAGCTCATGCCCTGCCTATACGGTATGTGTGTCCCTTGTGAACTCAGGGAGGCGCTCGCAGCAAAGGACGCAGCAGAGGCACTCCCCGAGTTCGAGATGGTGGACTCGCTCATCCGCCAGGTGGCTGAGCATCTGGGTCGTTCTGGCCCTTGGCATCAGCGGTTCGCCACGCTTCAGGAGGTTTTCACCGCCACGAACCTGGAGCTCCAAGGGATTCACCAAGTCAGGTGGCTCTCCAGGGGTGACGCCGTGTTGCGCGCGGTAGAGGTGTTGCCCGCGCTCATAGTCATGTTGTATGAGTGGGACAGCACTCTGTACGAGCTCGCCACCAGCTACAGGTTTCACTTCCTCCTGTATTTCCTTGCAGACGTGCTCGAGCAGCTCAACGTGTTGAACAGGGCATTCCAGCAGCGCGAGGTGAGCCGGTTTACTAGCATTCCTTTGTATTGCGACTGCTGCAGCTCCCAAGTTGTCCCTTATCTGTGTGATTCCCTGCAGAGTGTGTGTGCTAATGTTGTTAAGTGTGTCCCTAAACAAGCTGCGTTGCTCTGAGTCAGACTTTCATTCCCCCTTTGTCTCTTGCCATTCGGCCTTTACTAGCTTGACATTGCAGGAGTCCATGGGCAGATCAGGAGAACCATGTCGTTCCTCGAGTCCCGCTATGTCGACTGTGGTGACGACTTCGGAGGCGGGATGAGCGCGCGCCTCTCCCCGTTCATCAAGAAGCACGGCCCTGAGGGGGGCCGCCCCGAGGTGAAGGTGCAGGGAGTGGACTCGGACGGACGGCCGACTACACACACCTTCGAGCTGCACGAGAACCCAAGTGAAGATTACCCCACCCTCGGCTCTCACGACGCATGCGTTGATCTCTGCACCACCTTCGCCGAGACGCTCGTGCAAAACCTCAGCAAGCGGTTCAAGGACCTGGACTCCCTGGTGGGAGTGCGGCTCTTCATGCCAGACGAGTGGGAGCATGGGAGAGCGGAGCGCCACAAGCAATGCCTCGAGTGGCTCAACTCACTCGTGACACTCTTCAGGGCAGAGGAGACGGACTACATCATTCCAGGTGAGGTGTTCGATCATTGTTGATGGTTGTTGTAGTTGTGTTTAAACATGTTAACACAGTATTGTTAAAACTGAATGGCAGGCAATCTAATCCCCAATCTCTCTCCCTTATGTCTTACTTGGCAGGTATCGACAAGAGGCGGGCGATGAAAGAACTGCGTGCCTTCTGCCCCATCCTCGCAGGTGCTCCGAAGAACGAGCGCAGCTTCCACGCGGGACTAACAGCAATACTGAGGACATGCGACTGGACGACGAGCTACCCCAACCTGGTTCGTCTCTGGGTGGCTGTCGCCGTGCTGCCTCTGAGCACAGTGGAGTGTGAGCGCGGCTTCTCACGCCAGAATGTGATCAAATCTTGGCAGCGGGGGAGCCTCAAAGACGCCCGCCTTGAAGACCTGATCACATTGTCTCTGCTCGAGTACGAGCCCGACTACGAGGAGATGGTGTGCGCAGCTACAAGAAGCGGCGCCCATTTGGCAATGTGGCAGAAGCTCCAGCAAGAGAGGGGGAGGGCAGTGGCAACGGCAAGGGAAAGGAGGCAAATGAGGAGGAGGAGGAGGAGCTGGAAGAAGCACTGGCTAACTGCAGTGATGATGACACTGACTGATGCTGCTGAGTAAATGATTATTGAATTGAGCCCATGCTTGCAAGCTAGCTAGTTAGTGTGTTCTAGTTATTGATGTGTATCAGCGTTTAGAAAATGGGGACACTGATGCATCAGAGATTTTTTTAAAGGAACACTGAACTTTCAGGGATTTTTTTTTCGAGACACTGAATATCAGGGATTCTACACAAGGGGACCCTGATGCCTTGACGTGCCTAAAAGTGAATCATAGGGCCTGCATAGCATCCCAACCAAACATTTACCTAGTTGTAAAAGTCTAAAACCTGACAAGACGCTTCGTGGAATGCCCGAACATTGGTGCCAGCACTGTAGCGAGCCCCATATACTTGCAGATTTCGTGTTTCTGTTCTTGCCTATCAAATCTTTATTGTTCTTCTCTATGTTAGTCCATGCCTCTGCCTTCATAAAGAAGTTGGATCCTATTTAGCTTCCATTTCGTTCGTAACACATATAGGAACCGATTTTTGAAGATGTTTGAACGATGTTCGAGTGTCCCCCTCATCCCCCACCCCGCAAGCCAGTCGCCAATACTGCGACTCCAGATCTGCTCCATCGTCTTAGCGACCAGCAATCCCCAAGCCTCGTCGTTTGAGCAGTTCCCCAGCTGGCGATCGTACGCGGTTCGTGTGGACGAGTTACTTTAGCATCGCTCGCGCGCCGCTAGCCGCCATGAGCAGAGGGCGAGCGTATCTCGTCATTCTGCTTTCGCTACTCGTTCTCGCAGTAGTCTCGCAGCGCTTCGCAAGCCGCCCTCCCTTCGCGAATGCCGAAGAATTCGACGACGAGCGGTACGCGTACGACGAGGACGACGACGCAGGCGACGACGACGACATCCCGGCGGGCGACGACGGCGACGTCGTCGCACTGACGGCGGCGACGTTTTCGCAGGCCGTCAGCGAGCACAAGCACGTGATGGTGGAGTTTTACGCGCCGTGGTGCGGCCACTGCAGGGCGCTCGCGCCCGAGTATCGCGAAGCAGCGGCGACGCTCAAGGAGCTCGGCGTTCTCTTCGCCAAGGTGGACGCGACGAAAGAAACGGAGCTCGCCGACAAGCACAACGTGGATGGTTACCCCACCATCCTTTTCGCCACGGATGGCGAATTCCAGCCGTTCGGCGCCGGGCGAACCAGGTAGACATTCTGGAAGAGATCGGTTTTGCACCTCCCGTTTGCTGCGCGCACGTGTGACGAGGAAAGGGCAGTCTTTGAGAGGCTCTTACAGGCTCCTCATTCCCTTGGGAATCCTCTCGCACAATCGATTCCATCTGAGCTCATTTCCCCCCATTTCCCCCGTGGCCTCCGTTCCCCCATTTTCCCCCATTTTCCCCGTTCCCCCGATTTCCCCCGTTCCCCGCGTTTCGCCTGTTTCCCGCATTGCCCGCTGCTGCAGCGCGGAGATGGTGCGGTGGGTGAAGCGCAAGCTGGGCATGGGCGTGACATCGCTGGCGCCAGCCGACATTCCCAACGCGCCCGCGCTGCTCGAGAGCGCCGCCGCCGCTGCCTTCGCCTTCGTGTCCTCCCTTGACGTGAGTGCTGTGTGGTGCATGGATGGAGGGGAAGGGGAGAGGGGGAGAGGGGGAGAGGGGGAGAGGGGGAGAGGGGGAGAGGGGGAGAGGGGGAGAGGAAGAGAGGGGGAGAGGGGGAGAGAGGTGGGGGGGAAGGGGGGGCGGAGAGGGGGAAGGGGATCGGGTGGGATGCGGAGAGACATGGTCGGTAAATTTGTGAGTGTATTGCTAGATTCCCTCCCTCCCTCCCTCCCTCCCTCCCTCCCTCCCTCCCTCCCTCCCTCCCTCCCTCCCTCCCTACCTCCCTCCCTCCCTCCCTCCCTCCCTCCCTCCCTCCCTCCCTCCCTCCCTCCCTCCCTTCTTCTCTCCCTCTTCCAACCTCCCTGATCCCTTCCCCATCCTCCTTCCTCCACCCCTCTCTCGTACCTCCTCTCATCCCCATCCTCCCCTTCTCTCCCCTCCGCCTCCCCTCCCTTCCTCCCGCTCCGCTCCCCGCATCCCCCTCCCCTCCTCTCATCCCTCCCCTCCCCTCATCCCCCTCCCCTCCTCTCATCCCTCCCCTCCCCTCATGCCCCTCCCCTCTCCTTATCCCCCTCCCCTCCCTTCCCCCCCCCCTCTCCGCTCCTCCTCCTCCCCTCCCCTCTTCTCCTCTCTCCCACCAGGCCCCGGAGGCAGCAGCGTTCGGAGAGGCAGCGAGGGACACGGACGGGGTCGACTTTTTCGTCACCACGCATGCTGACGTGGCGGCGGCGTTCGGCCTGCCAGCTGGCGAGCCGCCCGCCCTGGCTGTGGTGAAGAAGGAGGAGGAGCGGCTGGTGGTGTTCGGTGAGTGCACTGCGCACCTCTGTGTGCACGCACAGGTGCTTGGTGTTGCGAGGCTTGAGCTGAGCTGAGGGGGCTGGTTGTGGGTCTGTCAGTGGTGAAGGACACGGGTGACACCTTCCCCACACCCCTGTGGTGAAGGACACGGGTGACACCTTCCCCACACCCCTGTGGTGAAAAAGGAGGAGGAGCGGCTGGTGGTGTTGTGAGGTTTGAGCTGAGGGGCTGGATTTGGGGCGAGGTTGGTGGGGTGGGGAATTGTGGGTCTGTCAGTGGTGAAGGAGGAGGCCCGATTTTTGACATCCTCCCCCTCCATACCTCATACACACACACACGCATATGCACGTGCACATGCGCACGCACTCGCACGCACATGCATGCACACGCACGTCACACACACACACACACACACGCCCACGCATACACCCACACGCCCACACATACACCCACACGCCCACACATACACCCACACGCCCACACATACACCCACACGCCCACACATACACCCACACGCCCACACATACACCCACACGCCCACACATACACCCACACGCCCACACATACACCCACACGCCCACACATACACCCACACGCCCACACATACACCCACACGCCCACACATACACCCACACGCCCACACATACACCCACACGCCCACACATACACCCACACGCCCACACATACACCCACACGCCCATACATGCACGCACATACACTCCTCCGTCAGATGATGAGTACCGCAAGGGGGTTCCAGACTCTCTTCGCACCTCTCCCCACCTCTCCCCACTTCATCCCACCTTTCCCCCCTCTCTCCCCACCTCTCCCCATATCTCCCCTCTTCCCTCCTCTCCCTACCCCTCTCCCCATCCCCCCTCCCCCTGGCGGCGAGTACAGCAAGGACGCCATCAGTGCGTTCCTGGCTTTCGAGTCGACTCAAATTGCCCCCTCCCCCTTTTGCCCTCTTTGCCCCATCTTCCCCCTCCCCCCTTTGCCCCATCCCCCCTCCCCCAGGCGGCGAGGACAGCAAGGACGCCATCAGCGCGTTCCTGGCTTTCGAGTCAATCCGAGTGTCATTTCCACCCTCCCCCCACTCTCCCATCTCTCCCCACCACACGCCCCCTCCCTCCCACCACCCCCATGCACAGGCGGCGAGTACAGCAAGGAGGCCATCAGCGCGTTCCTGGCGGCCAACCGGCTGCCACTGCTGCTGACCCCCACCCCTCTTTCACTTACGCGCACACCCGCACACTCCTCCCTGCCCTCTCTCCTCTTCCACCTCCCCTCACACCCCTTCCCCAGGCGGCGAGTACAGCAAGGACGCCATCAGCGCGTTCCTGGCAGCAAACCGGCTGCCGCTGCTGCTGACATACACAGAGGAGACCTCCGCTGCCATCTTCTCCTCCCCCATCGGCAAGCAGGTGAGATGGGTGCATGGCACGAGATGGGGTGAGTGCATGGCACGAGATGAGGTGAGTGCATGGCACGAGATGGGGTGAGTGGATGGCACGAGATGGGGTGAGTGCATGGCACGAGATGGGGTGAGTGCATGGCACGAGATGAGGTGAGTGCATGGCACGAGATGGGGTGGGTGCATGGCACGAGATGGGGTGAGTGCATGGCACGAGATGAGGTGAGTGCATGGCACGAGATGGGGTGAGTTCATGGCACGAGATGAGGTGAGTTCATGGAGTGAGGTGGGGTGGGGTGCGCACATGGGGGATGAGATGGTTGCATGAGTAATGCAGGGACGATGTGAGGCAGGGCATGAGACGAGGTGGGTGCATGGCACGAGGTGGGTGCATGGCACGAGGTGGGTGCATGGCACGTCCCAGAGACGTGCAGAAGGCCTTATCACAAGCAGGGTTTCGTACTGTATTCGGTAATTGTTTGTTGTCGCATGAACGCAAGCGTATATACGCTGCACGCTTTAGGGTCTGAACGTATATTCCAACTTGAAGGTTACCAACCAAAAGCCAACAATTGTTTTTACACTTTTCAATGGTGTCAGAGGGGGCACAACAGAAAGGTCATATTGAAGGGATGTGGCGAGGTGTGGAGTGACAGAGCATCGAAGGAGGAGAGAGGAGAGGAAGGGGCGATTGATGGCACGGGGGGATGAGTGAGGGGAGGGGGATGCGAATGAGGGGATGGGGAGATGAGTGAGGGGAGGGGGGAATGAGTGAGTGAGGGAATGGGGAGATGAGTGTGTGAGGGGAAGGGAAGATGAGTGAGGGGAGGGGGAGATGAGTGAGGGGGGGGGGGGGTCGGCTGTGGGGCGGGTGTCCTCTTAAATGCGTCCTCTCCACCCCGCCCCTCCAGGTGCTGCTGTTAGCATCAGACAGTGCATTCAAGGAGCTCTCGCCCGCACTTTTTGGGACAGCACTGCCCCCTTGCCTCTCACTCAAGTTGTCTCCTCTTGAATCCTTCTTCTCTATCCTGTCTCACCAGGTGCTGCTGTTTGCATCACACAGTGCATTCAGGGAGCTCTCGCCCGCACTCCTTGCGACAGCACTGCCCCCGTGCCTCTCACTCAAGTTGTCTCCTCCTGAATCCCTCATTTCTATCCTGTCTCACCAGGTGCTGCTGTTTGCATCAGACAGTGCATTCAAGGTGCTCTCGCCCGCACTTTTTGCAGCAGCCAAGCAGTTCAAAGGCCAGGTGCGTGCTGTGCCTCTTTCGTCCATGCCAGGAGCTCTCGCCTGCACTCCTCGCACCCTCATGCCTCCCACCCTCGTGCCCCCCACCCTCATGCGTCCCAAGAGAAAGGACTTCGGTTGGCGGCAAGCAAACACCCGCTGCAGCATGGAGTTCCTTGCCTTGTTGACTGTCGCTTCGGATGCTTGCATGCAGGAGCACACATTTCCCTCCTTCGATGAGGGTGGAGGGGGGAATGAGTGCTCATGCATGCAATGCGTGCTCATGAGCATGAGCACACATTTCCCTCTACATTTCACAGACCTTGACTTACTGCTGAAGGTTCCTGTGAACCGAACCTAGTTTACGCAGTCTCTGGTTCTGAACATGATTTACAGAGCCTTCGTTCATACTGGCTATGTAAAACGCAGAAGCACTCACCCAACCAGGCTCACTTTTCCATCTTAAACGTGCTTTCCTACTAAAGCGACTGGAATGGAAGCAAGGCCTCCGCAGCCCACCTGGCCATTGTCGACAAAAGTCGCAGCACGTCGCTCCTTGTTGACTGTCCCTCGTGATGCTCGCATGCATGAGCACGCATTCCCTCTGCCATGCTATCGCCCATCAGTCCATTCCGTCCCACCTTCCCGTCTCACCGCCTTGCTGTCATTCCACCCACCCCTTTTTTCTCCTCTGCCACAGGCCATGTTTGTGTTTGTGAACGCCTCTGACCCCGAGTCACAGCCAGAGAAGTCATCCCTCCCTAGTGCATGCTCATAGCCTTGCTGTCCGTCCTCCATTCCCCTTTTGGCCTTTTCCCTGTGCCACAGGCCATGTTTGTGTTTGTGAACGCCTCTGACCCCGAGTCACAGCCAGAGAAGTCATCCCTCCCTAGTGCATGCTCATAGCCTTGCTGTCCGTCCTCCATTCCCCTTTTGGCCTTTTCCCTGTGCCACAGGCCATGTTTGTGTTTGTGAACGCCTCTGACCCCGAGTCACAGCCAGAGAAGTCATCCCTCCCTAGTGCATGCTCATAGCCTTGCTGTCCGTCCTCCATTCCCCTTTTGGCCTTTTCCCTGTGCCACAGGCCATGTTTGTGTTTGTGAACGCCTCTGACCCCGAGTCACAGCCAGAGAAGTCATCCCTCCCTAGTGCATGCTCATAGCCTTGCTGTCCGTCCTCCATTCCCCTTTTGGCCTTTTCCCTGTGCCACAGGCCATGTTTGTGTTTGTGAACGGCTCTGACCCCGAGTCACAACCCGTGCAAGAGTACTTTGGAGCAGACGCCTCCACCACTGCCGTGAGTACTGTCAATACACCTGCTGACGCCTCCACAACTGTGGTGAGCGCGTGACTGCTGTACTGCTCTCTCTCTCTCTCCCTGCGCTGCTCTCTATGCAAGAGTATTTTGGAGCAGACGCCTCCACCACTGCCGTGAGTACATGGCTGCTGCGCTGCCCTCTGTGCTGCTGCATGCCGCAATGAGCTCCATGTGCTGTCATATGTCACTTGCTTCCATTCCACATGCTCACATCACTTGCCTTATGTGTGCATGCCTGCCCGTGTGTATGCATGCCTGCCCGTGTGTCTGCATGCCTGCCCGTGTGTCTGCATGCCTGCCCGTGTGTGTGCATGCCTGCCCGTGTGTGTGCACGCCTGCCCGTGTGTGTGCATGTCTGCCCGTGTGTGTGCACGCCTGCCCGTGTGTGTGCATGTCTGCCCGTGTGTGTGCATGCCTGCCCGTGTGTGTGCATGTCTGCCCGTGTGTGTGCATGCCTGCCCGTGTGTGTGCATGCCTGCCCGTGTGTGTGCACGTCTGCCCGTGTGTGTGCACGCCTGCCCGTGTGTGTGCATGTCTGCCCGTGTGTGTGCATGCCTGCCCGTGTGTGTGCATGCCTGCCCGTGTGTGTGCATGCCTGCCCGTGTGTGTGCATGCCTGCCCGTGTGTGTGCATGCCTGCACGTGTGTGTGCATGTCTGCCCGTGTGTGTGCATGCCTGCCCGTGTGTGTGCATGCCTGCCCGTGTGTGTGCATGTCTGCCCGTGTGTGTGCACGCCTGCCCGTGTGTGTGCATGCCTGCCCGTGTGTGTGCATGCCTGCCCGTGTATGTGCACGCCTGCCCGTGTGTGTGCATGCCTGCCCGTGTGTGTGCACGCCTGCCCGTGTGTGTGCATGTCTGCCCGTGTGTGTGCATGCCTGCCCGTGTGTGTGCATGTCTGCCCGTGTGTGTGCATGCCTGCCCGTGTGTGTGCATGCCTGCCCGTGTGTGTGCATGCCTGCCCGTGTGTGTGCATGCCTGCCCGTGTGTGTGCATGCCTGCCCGTGTGTGTGCATGCCTGCCCGTGTGTGTGCATGTCTGCCCGTGTGTGTGCATGCCTGCCCGTGTGTGTGCATGCCTGCCCGTGTGTGTGCACGCCTGCCCGTGTGTGTGCATGCCTGCCCGTGTGTGTGCATGCCTGCCCGTGTGTGTGCATGCCTGCCTGTGTGTGTGCATGCCTGCCCGTGTGTGTGCATGCCTGCCCGTGTGTGTGCATGCCTGCCCGTGTGTGTATGCCTGCCCGTGTGTGTGCATGTCTGCCCGTGTGTGTGCATGCCTGCCCGTGTGTGTGCATGCCTGCCCGTGTGTGTGCATGCCTGCCCGTGTGTGTGCATGCCTGCCCGTGTGTGTGCATGCCTGCCCGTGTGTGTGCATGCCTGCCCGTGTGTGTGCATGCCTGCCCGTGTGTGTGCATGCCTGCCCGTGTGTGTGCATGTCTGCCCGTGTGTGTGCATGCCTGCCCGTGTGTGTGCATGCCTGCCCGTGTGTGTGCATGCCTGCCCGTGTGTGTGCATGCCTGCCCGTGTGTGTGCACGCCTGCCCGTGTGTGTGCACGCCTGCCCGTGTGTGTGCATGCCTGCCCGTGTGTGTGCATGCCTGCCCGTGTGTGTGCATGCCTGCCCGTGTGTGTGCATGCCTGCCCGTGTGTGTGCATGCCTGCCCGTGTGTGTGCATGTCCCGTGTGTGCATGCCCGTGTGTGTGCATGCCTGCCCGTGTGTGTGCATGTCTGCCCGTGTGTGTGCATGTCTGCCCGTGTGTGTGCATGCCTGCCCGTGTGTGTGCATGCCTGCCCGTGTGTGTGCATGCCTGCCCGTGTGTGTGCATGCCTGCCCGTGTGTGTGCATGCCTGCCCGTGTGTGTGTGTGTGCATGCCTGCCCGTGTGTGTGCATGCCTGCCCGTGTGTGTGTGTGTGCATGCCTGCCCGTGTGTGTGTGTGTGCATGCCTGCCCGTGTGTGTGCATGCCTGCCCGTTTGTGTGTGTGTGCATGCCTGCCCATGTGTGTGTGTGTGCATGCCTGCCCGTGTGTGTGTGTGTGCATGCCTGCCCGTGTGTGTGTGTGTGCATGCCTGCCCGTGTGTGTGTGTGTGCATGCCTGCCCGTGTGTGTGCATGCCTGCCCGTGTGTGTGTGTGTGCATGCCTGCCCGTGTGTGTGCATGCCTGCCCGTGTGTGTGTTCAGTTTATGGGGTTCACCATGGGAGGAGGTGAGGACCCCTCAGTGCCAGCAGCAGGGCTCAAATACCGCATGACTGACCACCCCACAGCAGATAACATCAAGGTGTGTGCATCTGCTCTTGCCTCTGCAGAGTATGCTGCTGTCGTTTTGTTTCGTGTCTTGAAGAGACTGTCTTCCCCATGATCCTCCTATCCTTGAGGACACTGTCTATCCCAATCCTTGAAGACACTGTCTATCCCAATCCTTGACGAGGCAACCCCATGCCCCTTGTGGTATCTCATCCGACCCATTTGATCCCTATGAACAGATTCCCTATTCGATGTGTAACAAGAGAGCTTCATCCTCATGCCCTCTCCTCTCCCTTTCCCTCTCCCCTGCTCCCCTCCTTCCCTTTCTCTCTCCCCCGCTCCCCTCCCTCCCTTCTCTCTCCCCTGCTCCCCTCCCTCTCTTCTCTCTCCCCTGCTCGCCTCCCTCCCTTTCCCTCTCCCCTCGCTCGCTCCCCTCGTCCCAGTCTTTCACGCAAAGCTTCATTGACGGCCGTCTCAAGCCCTTCTTCAAGTCACAGCCCATCCCAGAGGAGGTCAGCAGCTCTCCAAGTTGTTCTGAGCTTTCAGAGGAGGCAGTCTTTAAGAACACCGTTCGTTGTGAAACGGTCCTTGGTACGAATGCAGGGGTTGGTGCACGCATACAGGCATCAACCCATTGACAGTATGTGTGACAGCCGTCTCAAGCCCTTTTTCAAGTCACATCCCATTCTAGAGAAGGTCAGCCTCTGAGAGAGTTACAAGTGTCAAATGAACAAGGGCAAGGCTGTGTTTTGAGTCAAATGAACAAGGGCAAGGCTGTGTTTTGAGTCAAATGAACAAGGGCAAGGCTGTGTTTTGAGTCAAATGAACAAGGGCAAGGCTGTGTTTTGAGTCGAATGAACAAGGGCAAGGCTGTGTTTTGAGTCGAATGAACAAGGGCAAGGCTGTGTTTTGAGTCGAATGAACAAGGGCAAGGCTGTGTTTTGAGTCAAATGAACAAGGGCAAGGCTGTGTTTTGAGTCAAATGAACAAGGGCAAGGCTGTGTTTTGAGTCAAATGAACAAGGGCAAGGCTGTGTTTTGAGTCGAATGAACAAGGGCAAGGCTGTGTTTTGAGTCAAATGAACAAGGGCAAGGCTGTGTTTTGAGTCAAATGAACAAGGGCAAGGCTGTGTTTTGAGTCAAATGAACAAGGGCAAGGCTGTGTTTTGAGTCAAATGAACAAGGGCAAGGCTGTGTTTTGAGTCAATGAACAAGGGCAAGGCTGTGTTTTGAGTCAAATGAACAAGGGCAAGGCTGTGTTTTGAGTCAAATGAACAAGGGCAAGGCTGTGTTTTGAGTCAAATGAACAAGGGCAAGGCTGTGTTTTGAGTCAAATGAACAAGGGCAAGGCTGTGTTTTGAGTCAAATGAACAAGGGCAAGGCTGTGTTTTGAGTCAAATGAACAAGGGCAAGGCTGTGTTTTGAGTCAAATGAACAAGGGCAAGGCTGTGTTTTGAGTCAAATGAACAAGGGCAAGGCTGTGTTTTGAGTCAAATGAACAAGGGCAAGGCTGTGTTTTGAGTCAAATGAACAAGGGCAAGGCTGTGTTTTGAGTCAAATGAACAAGGGCAAGGCTGTGTTTTGAGTCAAATGAACAAGGGCAAGGCTGTGTTTTGAGTCAAATGAACAAGGGCAAGGCTGTGTTTTGAGTCAAATGAACAAGGGCAAGGCTGTGTTTTGAGTCAATGAACAAGGGCAAGGCTGTGTTTTGAGTCAAATGAACAAGGGCAAGGCTGTGTTTTGAGTCAAATGAACAAGGGCAAGGCTGTGTTTTGAGTCAAATGAACAAGGGCAAGGCTGTGTTTTGAGTCAAATGAACAAGGGCAAGGCTGTGTTTTGAGTCAAATGAACAAGGGCAAGGCTGTGTTTTGAGTCAAATGAACAAGGGCAAGGCTGTGTTTTGAGTCAAATGAACAAGGGCAAGGCTGTGTTTTGAGTCAAATGAACAAGGGCAAGGCTGTGTTTTGAGTCAAATGAACAAGGGCAAGGCTGTGTTTTGAGTCAAATGAACAAGGGCAAGGCTGTGTTTTGAGTCAATGAACAAGGGCAAGGCTGTGTTTTGAGTCAAATGAACAAGGGCAAGGCTGTGTTTTGAGTCAAATGAACAAGGGCAAGGCTGTGTTTTGAGTCAAATGAACAAGGGCAAGGCTGTGTTTTGAGTCAAATGAACAAGGGCAAGGCTGTGTTTTGAGTCAAATGAACAAGGGCAAGGCTGTGTTTTGAGTCAAATGAACAAGGGCAAGGCTGTGTTTTGAGTCAAATGAACAAGGGCAAGGCTGTGTTTTGAGTCAAATGAACAAGGGCAAGGCTGTGTTTTGAGTCAAATGAACAAGGGCAAGGCTGTGTTTTGAGTCGACTCAAAACACGGATGATCTTATCAAGTGCGAGGCTGGCGTTGAGAACTGCGCTTCCTTATTGCATCCCATACCAGTTAGACGTCATATGGATCAGGGTCTTCGAAAAGAAACTCCCGGATACACCTCTCTCCTTCACTGTCCGTACCGTCTGCGAGGTCTCCATTCCTTCCCTCTTTCTTTTCATATCGCTCAGACCTTCACTGTCCGTTCAGTCTGAGAGGTCTGCACCTCTCTTTTTTCCTCTCCTCTTCAACTCTTCACCCTCCATCCATCCCCCCTCCCTCCACACCCCAACTCTCCCCAAGTGCGTCGATGACAAACGCGGGTCCAGCAACAGTAGTGGTGGGGACCCGTTTGAACCTATTTTATCTTTTCCTCCTCATGTCCCCACCTTCAAACCCCTCTCCCTCTTCCCCCTTCCCCCTCCCTCCCCCGTACCCCCCCTTATGCGCGGCGGTTGCAGAACGAGGGACCGGTGGCGGTAGTGGTGGGGGATTCATTCGAGAGCATTGTGTTGGATAACAGGAAAGATGTGCTGCTGGAGGTGTGTGTCGGGAGGGGCGGGGTGGGTGAGAGGGGCGGGGTGGGTGAGAGGGGCGGGGTGGGTGAGAGGGGCGGGGTGGGTGAGAGGGGCGGCGTGGGTGAGAGGGGCGGCGTGGGTGAGAGGGGCGGCGTGGGTGGGAGGTTCGGGTTGAGAGGGTCGGGGTGAGAGGGTCGGGCTGAGAGGGTCGGGGTGAGAGTGGCGGGGTGAGAGGAGGGTGTTATCCAACTTTAGCTCCAACCTTGTGTAGTCCAATCTCTTGAGCTGGTGTTTATTCATGAGCATTGAGAGGAGCATTGAGAGGAGCATTGAGAGGAGCATTGAGCACCCTTCAGCTGTCTGAGGAGCATGTCAGGCAACCGTTGCAACAGCTCTGCACTTGTCACACCTCACACCTTTCTCGCCTGTCCCACCAATTTCATTTTCCCACTCTGCACATTTACCAACCTTCCCACTCCCTTCAATTCCCCTCCCTATTCTGTATTCCTACTCGCCCCACTCGTCCCTCTCCCCCCACTCGTCCCTCTCCCCCCACTCGTCCCTCTCCCCCCGCTCCCCCCTCTCCCCCCACTCGCCTCTCTCCCCCTTCTCCTTCCACTCGCCTCTCTCCCCCCTCTCCCCCCTCTCGCCTCTCTCCCCCCTCTCCCCCCACTCGCCACTCTCCCCCCGCTCCCCCCTCTCCCCCCTTTCGCCCCTCTATCCCCATCCACCAGGTGTATGCTCCCTGGTGCGGCCACTGCCAGCAGCTCGAGCCCACGTACAAGAGGCTGGCAGAGCGGTTCAGTGCGGTGCAACCAGTGGTGATTGCCAAGATGGATGGCACGGCTAATGAGTACCCCGGCCTAGAGGTAACCTTTCTCTCTCTTCTCAACCTCTCCCCCTCCTCTCAACTTCTCCCCCTCCTCTCAACTTCTCCCCCTCCTCTCAACTTCTCCCCCTCCTCTCAACTTCTCCCCCTCTTCTCAACTTCTCCCCCTCTTCTCAACTTCTCCCCCTCCTCTCAACTTCTCCCCCTCTTCTCAACTTCTCCCCCTCCTCTCAACTTCTCCCCCTCCTCTCAACTTCTCCCCCTCCTCTCAATTTCTCCCCCTCCTCTCAACTTCTCCCCCTCCTCTCAACTTCTCCCCCTCCTCTCAACTTCTCCCCCTCCTCTCAACTTCTCCCCCTCCTCTCAACTTCTCCCCCTCCTCTCAACTTCTCCCCCTCCTCTCAACTTCTCCCCCTCCTCTCAACTTCTCCCCCTCTTCTCAACTTCTCCCCCTCTTCTCAACTTCTCCCCCTCCTCTCAACTTCTCCCCCTCTTCTCAACTTCTCCCCCTCCTCTCAACTTCTCCCCCTCCTCTCAACTTCTCCCCCTCCTCTCAACTTCTCCCCCTCCTCTCAATTTCTCCCCCTCCTCTCAACTTCTCCCCCTCCTCTCAACTTCTCCCCCTCCTCTCAACTTCTCCCCCTCCTCTCAACTTCTCCCCCTCCTCTCAACTTCTCCCCCTCCTCTCAACTTCTCCCCCTCCTCTCAACTTCTCCCCCTCCTCTCAACTTCTCCCCCTCCTCTCAACTTCTCCCCCTCCTCTCAACTTCTCCCCCTCCTCTCAACTTCTCTCCCTCCTCTCAACTTCTCCCCCTCCTCTCAACTTCTCCCCCTCCTCTCAACTTCTCCCCCTCCTCTCAACTTCTCCCCCTCCTCTCAACTTCTCCCCCTCCTCTCAACTTCTCCCCCTCCTCTCAACTTCTCCCCCTCCTCTCAACCTCTCCCCCTCCTCTCAACTTCTCCCCCTCCTCTCAACCTCTCCCCTCAACCTCTCCCCCTCCTCTCAACCCCTCCCCCTCCTCTCAACCTCTCCCCCTCCTCTCAACCTCTCCCCCTCCCCTCAACCTCTCCCCCTCCTCTCAACCTCTCCCCCTCCTCTCAACCTCTCCCCCTCCTCTCAACCTCTCCCCCTCCTCTCAACCTCTCCCCCTCCTCTCAACCTCTCCCCCTCCTCTCAACCTCTCCCCCTCCTCTCAACTTCTCCCCCTCCTCTCAACTTCTCCCCCTCTTCTCAACCTCTCCCCCTCCTCTCAACTTCTCCCCCTCCTCTCAACCTCTCCCCCTCCTCTCAACCTCTCCCCCTCCTCTCAACCTCTCCCCCTCCTCTCAACCTCTCCCCCTCCTCTCAACCTCTCCCCCTCCTCTCAACCTCTCCCCCTCTTCTCAACCTCTCCCTCTCCTATCAAGCTTTCCCCTTCCTCTCCCGCCCCCCTACTCCCCTGCTCCATCCCCTCCTCCCCTGCTCCCTCCCCTCCTCCCCTGCTCCCTCCCCTCCTCTCATGCTCCTTCCACTCCTCTAGCCCCTCCTCTTCTGCTCCCTTCCCTCCTCTCCTGTTCCCTCCCCTCCTCTCCTGCTCCCTCCCATGCTCTCCTCCTCCCTGTCGTCCTATCATGCTCCCACGCGTCCTCACATGCTTCCCCCCACTCGGCCCATCCCCATGCCCTCCACTCGTCTTCTCCTGTCCGTTCCCTTGCTCTCTCTACTATTCTCTTTCCCACACTTGGGTCCTCAGCAGCTAGAGATTTTTTCAGTGTTGGTACGACAGCGATAGAACCTGCAAATCAGTTTTTTTTTTTTTTTTTTCCTCTCTCCCTCTCTCCCTCTCTGCCTCTCCGACTTTCTGCCTCTCTGTCTCTCTGCCTCTCTGCCTCTCTGCCTCACTGCCTCTCTTCCTCTCTGCTTCTCTGCCTCTCTGCCTCTCGCTCTCCCTCTCGCCGTGCCTTGTGCTGCAGGTGGAGGGCTTCCCCACCATAGTCTTCTACCCCGCGGGGAAAAAGACAGACCCAGTGAGACCAGCCACCAGGGCCTTCGCCTGCCTGTGCTGCCTGCCTGTGCTGCCTGCCTGTGCTGCCTGCCTGTGCTGCCTGCATCACATGCTGCCGTGTTCCTTGCATGTGTGGCGTGTGTCTTAGGATTCCCCACCATAGTGTTCTACCCCGCAGGGAAAAAGACAGACCCGGTGAGACCAGCCCTCCATAGTTGGTGGGAAGGGTAGCGGGCTAGAAGAGCTCTGTGGGACTTTAGTTCATTCACTTGAATAAGAAGAGGGAGGGGGTGCAAGGGAAGGGCTTCCCCACCATAGTGTTCTACCCCGCGGGGAAGAAGACAGACCCGGTGAGACCAGCCCCACATGGCCTTTGCCTGCCCGTGCTGCCTACCCGTGCTGCCTGCTTCACAGGCTGCCGCTCAGTGCGCACCATCATGGCTACAAATGCTGCCATTGCAACGCCTTTGCTTGCATGTGTGGAGCGCATGTGCGCACATGGCAAGTGTTGTACAGCGTGGAAGAGACTAGAGAGGTTGTGTGGTCGTGCCTGTTCATGTCTCTGAACAGTGCATACTTGTGTGTGTGGCTGTTCATGTCTCTGAACAGTGCATACTTGTGTGTGTGGCTGTTCATGTCTCTGAACAGTGCATACTTGTGTGTGTGGCTGTTCATGTCTCTGAACAGTGCATACTTGTGTGTGTGGCTGTTCATGTCTCTGAACAGTGCATACTTGTGTGTGTGGCTGTTCATGTCTCTGAACAGTGCATACTTGTGTGTGTGGCTGTTCATGTCTCTGAACAGTGCATACTTGTGTGTGTGGCTGTTCATGTCTCTGAACAGTGCATACTTGTGTGTGTGGCTGTTCATGTCTCTGAACAGTGCATACTTGTGTGTGTGGCTGTTCATGTCTCTGAACAGTGCATACTTGTGTGTGTGGCTGTTCATGTCTCTGAACAGTGCATACTTGTGTGTGTGGCTGTTCATGTCTCTGAACAGTGCATACTTGTGTGTGTGGCTGTTCATGTCTCTGAACAGTGCATACTTGTGTGTGTGGCTGTTCATGTCTCTGAACAGTGCATACTTGTGTGTGTGGCTGTGTGTGGCTTATGCTGTGTGTGGCTTATGCTGTGTGCACCTGCAACATGTGAAGGTGGCTGCACGTACGCTTAACGAGTTCATTCAAACCATCAACGACCATGCCTCCACTAAGCTTGATGAAGCCGGTGTGCCCTCTCATGTCTCTCCCGCGTGTGTGCAGCTCATGTGTGTGCCCTGCACTGCACCAACAGGTGAAGGTGGCTGCGTGGACGCGAAAGGAGTTCAAGCAAGCCATCAAGGGCCATGCCTCCACTGAGTTCCACCTTGATGCTTCTAGCAAGGCATGCTCTCTTATCAACCTTTGTGCGCCCTTGTGCCTCCTTCCCATGTTGCGATGCTCCAACACAGGTGAAGGTGGCGGCAAGAACACTCAAGGAGTTCGTGCAAGCCATCAAGGACCACGCCTCCACATGGGAGGCAGTCACCTCCCAACATGTCTCACACTTGCACCGTGTGCCTGTCTCCCATGACCATGACCAACAGGTGAAGGTGGCTGCGCGCACCCTCAAGGAGTTCGTGCAAGCCATCAAGGACCACGCCTCCACCGAGTTCCACTGTGTGCCCGTCTCCCATGTTGTGATGTATGTTTGGCGCATGCTGTGTGCACCTGCTGTCTCTCATGACCGACAGGTGAAGGTGGCGGCAAGAACACTCAAGGAGTTTATCCAAGCCATCAAGGACCACGCCTCCACTGAGTTCCACCTTGAGCCCTCGCCTCTGGACGAGCAGGAGGAGGAAGTGAGTGAGGAGGAAGAGATGGAGGAGGGGGAGATTGGGGAGGGGGGGATGGAGGGGGAAATGGGGGAGGATGGGATGGAGGCGGCAGAGGAGGAGGATATGGCGTATGATGGGATGGAAGGGGATGGGGAGGAGGAGGACGATGCGTTTGACAGGTTGTTTCACCACGACGAGTTGTAGAACGGAGTGACAGACAAAAGTGCTGCTCGCAGTGACCGTTATGATTCACTAACATTGGCTGGTGTTGTGCAAACATCAATTCCACTCCTGCACACATTGTGCAGTGATGAACAAGCAATGATGAACAGTGGGAGCCAGCACAGGCCTGTTAACAACAGTATGCGTACATGGGTGTTGGCGAATTCTAACCACAAGATCGAACGCACTAAATCTACACCATCCATGCCTAGGTCATGGATTGCACCTTGATGCCAGCAAAAGCTGACCAGTGTCCAAAACTCATGGCTAAGAGATACTTCATGGTAAAGGCAGAACAACTGGAGCACATGTGAGCGTGGCAAAGCTGCCTGCATGCCTGCCTCCCCGCAGCAAGTCTGCAACGCGGTTCTATTAGCCACCACAGCACTAACCACGGCCCCGGCAACAACTCAAGCGCTTCAGAGCAAGCCTATACGACCAGCGAGGGCAGCAGCAGGTGGAGCCATCTGGCAGCACTTGGCGAGCAGCCCTCGCTTCTAAACAAGAGTCAAGCGCCAACCCTCTCCCAACTCTGCCAATTCCCCCCCAATCCAGCCGCCGCAGCCTTGTGCTACTTTCCGTCCTGCAGAGAACGGGGCTGCTGTAGGAATGCCGTCCTGCAAGAATGCCGTGTAGAAGCTGCAATTTCACCTCCTTACTTTCAGCCCATTCCTGCGGCATCAGCAAGCATCCCTCAGGGAGCCACTGACCTGCTTACCACCTCACACAATCTCTCCTATCGTCTGCCACGCCTTGCCCTTCGCCACTCTCCCTCTCCTCCACGCCACCCCTCCATTGCCCCTCTCGGCCCTCTCGCTCTCTCTTAGTGTCTGTCTCCCTGCCAGTGGCCACGACCTTGTTGCTCCCTCAGCAGCTCAACCACCCACGCCCATGTCAACAGCACATCCCCTGCCCTCACGTTCCTGCGGAATCAGCAGGCATCTGCTCTCCTATCACCAGCATCCCTCTGGGAGGGCCACTGACCTGCGTACCGCTCCAAACCCTCTCTATCTGCTCTCACGCCTTGCCCTTCGCCACTCTCCCTCTCCTCCACACCATCCCTCTGCATCCGTTGCCCATCTCGGCCCCTTCTGCGTGCCTGCCGCTGCCAGTCGTCACGCCTTTATCGCTCGCTCAGTTGCTCACTTCACTACCCAAGCATCATCACATTCATGCCCTCTTGTCTCACTCCGGCTCATTCTCTCAAAGAGAGCTAAACGCAGTCCGCACATTCTCACCGTCCCATCCCCGTGTCCCCCTATCGCCCCCCCTCTCGTCCCAACACACCCCCATCCACTTCCCCCAACTTCCGTCCCCCATCTTTCTTCCCCCAACTTCCGTCCCCCATCTTTCTTCCCCCATCTTCCGTCTCCCATCTTCCTTCCCGCACCTTACTCCCTCAAACTTTACTCCTCACCACCACTCGACCACCCCCCACACTCCTCTTCGCCTTCTCCCTCTCAGCATCGCGCCCCATCTTCACATACAGTCTCACCATCTCATCCATACTCACCCCTATCTCGCCCTCAACCCTCTCCCTATGGCACACAATCACCCCCTCCTCCCGGCACCCCGCATCCCTCGGCCCAGCGTCATACTCGGGAATGGGCAGCAGCGGCTTCATGTCTATAAGCGTCTCCGCTATAAGCCCCGACTGGTTAACGAATATAGGCGTGCCGCGCGGAATCACAATGTCCTCGTCGAGGATCTCCACCACCACGTCCACGCTGGTTAGGCTCGGCCGGACCGCCACCACCGAGCCTACGGCGATGCCTCGCATGCGCACAGGCGTGCCCACGAGGATGCCGCACGCCTTGGGAAACCTCACCACCGCTGTGTACCGCGCTGGCGCCACTCCCCCTCGCCTGCCGCCCTGCACTTCGTAGTACTGACGCCTCTGAGGTGCCTTATGCTGCTGCTGCTGCTGCTGCTTCTCTTGAATCCCTTGCTCTTTTTGCTGTGCTGATCTACCCAGCACTACCTCCCCGCCCTCAGACTGAGCTTTCGCCGCAGCTCTGTCATCCGAACCTGGCTTGCTAGACTTGGTGTCCGCCGCAACCGAAGCTAGCCTACTCGGTTTGGTGTCAGCTGCGGTTATCACGGCAGCGTGGGCGGGAGGCGGGAGCAAAAGGGACTTGAGTGAGACACGTGGCAGCACGCCAGTGGAGCGGAGGGCAGCCGCGAGCCAGATGACTGCCGCAGTCGCCACCGCCGCGCCCGCCGCTTTTAACGGAGCTGATGGGGACGACAATGTCGCCAGAAGCAGTTGGGAGAAGCGTGGTTTATGCTCGTCCTGCGAGTAACTCAATAACGGGGACGGCTCTTCGGGGAAGGGTTCGCAATGCAGGTTGTTGCTGTGGGTGCTACTGACTTGGTCGCTATGCGCGGAGCAAGCTGTTCCACACCGCCGTCGAAGCCGCGGCGGCGTCGCACGGTCACACGAGGCTAGCACTTCATGCCGGATTCCGGCCCGAGGTGTCGCAGAGTCTGCATCGCCAGCGTCGCACGGCCAACGAGATGTTTGCGACGTAAGCTGGTGGTTCGCGAGAGCAGCGGCGAGGGGTGGTTTGTGGCGACAGCGAGGGAGCGACGCTCCGAGAAGCGTCGAGAACGAGCAACGGTGAAAAGACTCTCCCGCGTCACTGGAACGCCGTTGGCTGCGGAAAAACAACGCCGCGATGTTCGATGGCGAGGCGGCGCGAGGCTGAGAACGGGAAGAGCGGCGGCGGGGAGTGCATGGTGGCGGAGACGAAAATGCAGGCGCTGCTCTTATCGAGGAAGGAGGATTTTGAGAGAAGGGGATCTGGGGCGAAAATGTGGACAAGAAAATCGAAGAACGCGCTACTACGGGTATAGCAGCCATGGTGTGACCGCTGGGAGGCAGGGTGAAGAGAATATGACTGAAGTCCAAGAAACGGCTAATGAGAAGGGCAGCAAGGATGCTATTGTTATGAATGTGAGAGTTGCACAATTGAACTGAAATGTACTTGAATGTAAGGAAAATTCCTTTTCCTTACTTCGCGTCCCTGCTTACCGCGTACATGCCTGTTCCCGCCATCGGCACCCATCCGTGAACGTTACCCGCTCGCGACATTCGCCTCGACCACGACTCCCGCCACTGTTCACGATGCGACCCAACCTCACGGTTCGGCTGGTAACCCGCGCTCCGGACCTCCGCCTCGACAATTCCCAACCTCGGCGCTAGGCCCGCAGCGCACCCCAATTTCCCGCATTACCGTTACCACGCTAGCTTCGCTATATAACTTCGCTCATGCTTTTCGCTCAACTGTATTGATTGCTTCGATAGTGCAATTCTCGCTCGTTCACTCAATTGCACTCGTAACACTTGGTATTCAGAGCCTACGATCTCCTCTCGGACCGCACCCACACCTTCGCTTCCCCACTATCTCATTTTTTTGGGGGGGGTAGACGTCTCTCAGCGAACAAGCACCGCCGCTCGTAGTGCTCTCTCGTAAGCACGCACGGCCACGACAGAGGCTCTCGCTGAGTTTGCCCGACACCCCCGCCATGGCCGAAATTAATCTTGCGACATTGACGCAGGAGCAGCTCGACCGTCTCGTGCGTCAACTCGAAGATTCGGCACTCGAAATCGCGACACTCACGGCGGAACGTGACTCCGCCCGCCAGCAATCAACGGTGAATGCACCAGCTCCATCACAAGCACCCGCAAATGCACCTGCGCAATCAGAAGAACCGATCGTCATCTCATCCGGCACACCGACGCAAAACGACAGCGTGAGACAGCGCTCAGGCGCAGCCAGTGATGGCGCCGCTCAATCGATGCCTGGCATGGAGAGAAATCGGGCCGCGCCAAGCCCGCATGGGCCTCGCGAAGTTCGTCGGCACGTGGAATTTGCAGCAACAAGTGGCAACCACGACATCATGGCACCAATGCCACTCAAGCCGCAGCGCCCGCCCTGTTTCGATCCGAGCCAACGTGGAGGTCCGACGGTTCAGTCGTGGGTCTTCACGATGAACGTTTTCTTCGACGCAAATTACGTCGAGTCGGACGCAGCGAAGATTCGCTACGCTGTTTCGCTGCTGAGGGGCCCCGCCATGGACTGGTGGCGAGTCATCGTGACGTCGCCACGCGCCTACGAGCCACCGTCGCAAGAGGAAGGGCCCACGGGTCCAGCTGTCACCTGGAGTTCATTCTGTGAAACAGCCCAATACAGCACGTGGGATGCGTGGTGCGCAGGGCTTCGGGCGCGCTTCGAGCCGATCGCGGCTTCCATTTCGGCGCGTCAGAAACTGCGTACTTGGCGGCAGCTCGGGTCGGTTCAAGACTACACGAGTGGTTTTCTCGCATTATGCGAGCAAGTCGGCTACATGCACGAAGCGGAGCGGGTGGACCGTTACGTCGGAGGGCTGAAGCCGGACATCCCGCACGAAATCATGCTACGCGGACTCTCGAATTTCAACGAGATTCTCGCGCTCGCCGAGAAAGTCGACATTTTACGCCGACCGAGACCGGGGTCCTACTACGGACATCGTCCTCGGGGACTGATCGAGCACGCCACTGTACATGCTGTTGCGACAAATGCAGCTGCCACACCGTTTAAGGGGCGCTGCTTTGCTTGCAATAGGCCGGGCCATCGCAAGAGTGAATGCCCAGAGGAGCTGAGGCGCCGCGGAGCAGAGCAGGGGAGGGAGTCTCTAAGGCAGGGAAACGCCAGCAGTCAGTAGGAATCGGGCCAACTACTGACGAGACTGCCTGCTCGCCCAACCACACCGACCCTCACCGAGTCACAGTACCGATTCACGCTATCGATCGGGCTCGGATGAATAAGGAGGGTATAGCGACGGATTGCCCAGTACTGATTTACGGGAAAATACAGGGAGCAGCAGTGAAGATCTTTATAGACGGAGGAGCAAGCCACAGCTTAGTTAATACCGCAACCGCACGGAAGCTGCAACTGACACTTAGTCGGTGTTTACCGGAAATAGATGCACGCTTAGTGGACGGAACGCCGCTGGCCATACGGGAGAAGGTGGAGAGAGTAAGGTCCGCTGCGGGGGGAACTTTGGGTTTACACAGGAAATGCTCGCGACGACATTGGATGGGCACGACATTTTACTGGGACGTGATTGGCTGCGACGGTATAACCCGCGAATTGACTGGACGACGGGTAGCTGCACTGTGCGAAATAGCGGTAACTGGGTCGCGCTACCTCGCTGGCAGTCGCCCGAGTCTTCAACGGTCCACGTCAACGCCATCACGATGAAACGGGCTGTCGCCGCTGGAGCTGACGTGCACGCAGTGGATATAGCATTGATAGGAGAAGCAGAGCAGCCGAGTGACTTTCAGAAACTACTGGCAGCGGTACCGCCCGAACTGCAGGAACTGTTGAAATGGTACCCGGAGATTTTTCCGGATGATTTACCGGAGGGACTGCCACCTCAGCGGGCACACGACCATCGCATAGAGTTAGAACCGGGGGCACAGCCAACCGTACAGCGACAGTTCAGACTGACACAACCCGAGCTCGACGAACTGAGGAAGCAGTTAGATTACCTATTAGAGAAAAAATTCATCCGACCGAGCTCGTCACCGTTCGCCGCACCGATATTGTTCACACCGAAAAAAGATGGAGGGTTTCGCATGTGCATCGATTACAGAGCACTGAACCGGGTAACAGTCAAGTCGCGATACCCCATTCCCCGCGCTGACGAACTGATAGACCAACTGCGAACAGCACGGGTTTTTTCGAAAATAGATTTACGGGGAGGTTACCATCAGATCAGGGTCGAACCATCAGACTGCGCCAAGACAGCATTTAGGACTAGGTACGGGTCGTTCGAGTACACAGTAATGCCATTCGGTTTGACCAACGCACCGGCAACATTTCAGATGACCATGAACGAGGCGTTTAGACCACTTTTAGATAAATGCGTGATAGTTTACCTCGACGACATCCTCGTTTACAGTCGTGACAAGCAGCAGCACTTAGCCGATCTGGAAGCAGTTTTTAAGATTTTAGACGGGCACCGCCTACTGACTAAGGGTTCCAAGTGCGAGTTCTTCCAGGATAGATTAGAATTTTTGGGGCACGTAATTTCGGAGGCTGGGGTTGAAATCGACCC